GGGGAAGCAAAGTTGCCGAGGTTCGCTGGCTGATTAGTTTACGCCAGACCGAGTGGGAAGCCCTGCCGACGCCGCCAGGCACAAGAACTTACTCGTACTAGTACAACTATATGAATATACCTCCTCTGGGAATGGGTTCCTCGGTCTGAAACAAGACTCGGATGATACGAGGTTGATGAGTGATCAAGAACAAAGATCAGCCCTGGTGATCCTTCGGTCTTTCCTGCTGCCTCAGCGTCTGTTCAGCACCGTGACCGTTGACTGCATGTGACAGCGACCATCATGTCAACTCCTAGCTAAGGAGCGGAATACACACAACTATTTTCCTACGTGTGAAAAGTGGATTTATGCAATGGATAATTTTATGTTAAATTGGTAGATGACCATCTGATTGCCAGTGCAGCCAGTGTTTCTTTCTAATTGATATGTAACCCTGAATATGAAACCCATCCGGCTCATTGACAGAGGGAATGGGCGATTAACGACGGGAAGTCCTTCTGCGAATCTCGAAGGTCCCTCTAAGTCGCGACAGAATGCCGAAACCAAAGGGTGCTAAGCACGACGACTTCATTCCCTCAAGGGGTACGGCGTCGTGAGCGGAGACTCGTGAAGAAAAGAAAATCAAAAGTGGATGAGCCCGCCGGGAAAAACCAAATACACAAGCGAATCACATGATATCGCGGAAGAATAATCTTCCAGAGTCCGCAAGTTCTCCACAGTCACGTGGACACATGCGGAGAGCTGCGCGGGCAGATCGCCCGCGCACTCCTTAGGCTTCGTTGGTAACTTTTTCTTTGCGATCGCTCGAGTTCGGAAAATGCGCAATGGCTGAGCTCTATCCTTCATTGGTGCAGTGCGCCATCGTGGCAGCAGCCTTCAAGGTGCTGCTGTTTCCCGCATAGTGAGTCGCATGTTTTCTAGGAGCTCCTCGCTCGAGATCTAACCGTGTTGCGATGCTTATAGCAAGTCGACGGACTTTGAAGTGCACCGCAATTGGCTTGCTATTACTCATTCGCTTCCTGTGAAGGAATGGTATTACGAGGTCTGTCCTTGTGCGCGCCTGATTCGAATTGCCTGGCCGTTGTTGACACTGTTGCAGAAATCCTCCGAATGGACCCTCGATTACCCCCGTTCTTCGCAGCCTTCGAATGGCTCATGTCGCAAGCGGCCGCCTATGTTGATCCGGCGATGCTGGTTGTGCAGAATTTGGGATACGATTCTTGGCAGACAGTTTACTTCCAACGCGCCACTGTTATTGTGACCGAGTTGGTCTTGGTATTTGCATTGAGTCGGTAAGACAGATCAACTGCCTTGATCGAACGAAGAGACGAGACTAATTCTTCCAAATCCTAATAGATACGTCAAGTCAGCTCCTTCCTGGGACAAACAAGCTGCACACGTGGCCAGTCTCTCTATCCTCCTCTCCCCGGGCCTGTTTATCATCGACCACATTCATTTCCAGTATAATGGATTCTTGTACGGGATCTTGATCCTCTCCATTGTCTTGGCTCGGAAACAATCGACGCTTCTGTACAGTGGAATTCTCTTCGCCATTCTCCTATGCTTAAAACACATCTACCTATACCTTGCCCTCGCCTATTTCGTTTACCTGGGCCGTTTCTACTGCCTCGACCCCAAGAATGTCTTCCGGCCTCGGTTTTTCAATATCGTTAAACTTGGGGTCTGTGTTCTTGGTGTCTTCGGGATTGCTTTTGGCCCCTTTGTGCAATGGGGCCAGTTACTACAGCTCAAGGATCGCCTCTTCCCTTTCTCGAGAGGGCTATGCCATGCGTACTGGGCGCCAAATATATGGGCTATGTACTCTTTTACCGATCGTGCCCTGATTCCCTGTATGTATTCTTTTCTTTCCTGGCAAATTCACGCCCTTACTGACTTTGTTTCTAGTGGCACCGCGCCTGGGACTTTCGGTAAACCAAGACGCCCTCAATAGCGTCACCCGTGGGCTCGTTGGTGATACTTCCTTCGCGGTCCTCCCAGAGATCAGCAGCCAACAAACATTTTTGCTCACATTTATCTTCCAACTTGTATGTATTACTCCCCGCCAGATAATCCGCATTATATACTCATCCAGCATAGATTCCTCTTGTGAAGCTTTGGTTCCATTCAGGGCCCAACTGGGAGACATTTGTAGGAGCAGTGACACTTTGTGGATACGCATCCTTCCTCTTCGGCTGGCACGTCCATGAGAAGGCGATTCTTTTGATCATCATCCCCTTCAGCCTCATCGCTCTAAAGGACCGTCGCTATTTCAGCGCTTTCCGGCCATTGGCAGTTGCCGGTCATGTCTCTCTTTTCCCCCTGCTTTTTACCGCCGCGGAATTTCCGCTCAAGACAGTCTACACTGTGTTCTGGTTGATCCTCTTCCTCTTCGTCTTTGACCGAGTCGCGCCCGTCCCAGAGCGACCGCGAATTTTCGTCTTCGACCGACTTGCTTTGCTATACCCTCACATTCGCCATTCCGTTGATAGTGTACTGCTCGCTGGTTCACCAACTGATCTTCGGATTCGAACGACTACAGTTCTTGCCCCTGATGTTCATGAGCAGTTATTCCGCACTTGGTGTTGTCGGGAGCTGGGTTGGATTTATGGTGGTTTATTTTACCGAATAGATCGGTTTTTAGATAGAAAAGGAAGCTTCAGATTGGCATATAACTAAAAATTAATCATGATTCGCTTCTCTGCTTGCATGCCCATCTCCGGCTTGTTGAGGCAAACCAAGATGACGTAACCCATTCCACGTGGGTCCGGCCCACTTCAACCACGGAGTCTATTTGACGCTACGCCTGAACAGGTTAGCGCCGCCCCGTGAAATCCATGCAGCGGGCTAAATACGAATGCGCGTCAAATCGAGAGAAAATATGTTGTGTATCATCGTGTCAGTGTATCCATGTCTGCTAATTCGCAGCTAGTATCTAAATATTAAGATCTTTAACTTTGTCATGGTTCGACCGTACTGCGATTTAACTGAAATATTGGGATTTTCTGCATTTCAATACTACTATATATCGGGGCCACGAATGGGGACGTAAAGTTCTTAGTAGAGATTTAAAAACTGCTAACAACATCTTGTTGGAACTAGTACCTATTATATATTAGGATTGTATTTCAGCAATAATCCTTAATATGCTGCTATCAGTAGCTCCCAAGGTTATTGGTAAGTCTGCGTAGACGCGGAGTATTTTCTCTCCAGAATTTGGCACACTCGGACGGGCTCTCCATGAACGGTGTTGTACAGCCATGAGGTTCACGCCATAACATTTCCCGCTCTGAGATAAAAGTAAGAGTTAATATAAACGAAATGCCATCAATTGGTAACCCGACCGGAATTAGGACTATATCCCATAAATTTGAATACGACAGAGTATCTAGATATAATCGAACACATTGCTCTTACCCAGGAGCTTGGTCTGGTGAACGAAATACAAACACCAGAAAGTAAACTATTAATAGCTAGACAGAAGAGCAATTCCGGGAGCCCTTGGAGCTGAAATTTCGAGCTATTTCTGTTGGTGCTATGTCTATTGGTAGTTCTTCAACACACTGTACGAAAATTACTGACTACTTGCCTAAGAAAACAACCGGAGTGAGTTTCCTGGTTCTATATGAAAGTCTGAGTATGCAATTTTGGTTACAACAAGTCAACTCACAGACATGCTTAGCTTTTCCGGCTAAGTTTCTCAAGGTCGGTAAGCGATGAACCGGACGGCCAGGTTTTGGCACTGCTTGGATTAACTCTGAAGACTTTAAGTGAGCGTGGCTACCGTAATGCATTGAAGCTCTATTCTACTATCATGGAACAATGAGTTTAATGCATATCTAGTCCTGCGATCGTATCAGAAGAGGCGATCGCCTGCGAATGCCTGCAGACGTCGGAGACAATGTTCATGGTAGCAAAGTAAACAGGCAAGGCGAGCAAAGATTATTGGTCGCAAAGCTCGGGAAGAGAGGTAGGAGCAATAAACCTTCCCCGTTCACATATTCTTTCGAAACTGGAGTGGTGAATAATGAAGGACAGAAAGTTGACAAAGACTTGGCACGTCATGACAACTTAAAGCATCCATCGCCTGCCAAATTGGGCCATCTATTGCCAGGAACAATGAGGGATTGGAACACAATGGAATCACTTGAATAATTACCGACAGACATAATGAATATTGGATATTGTGGTGGTGGAAAAAATCGAGAAATTGGGATGGCTATGGTGGACATAGTTGGCAAACTAGACTAGGTGACAACAAGGCTCCTCGCGGGAGTATTTGATAGTCGGATGGAAGGTGCAATTCTTCGCAATTAAATCGACCGAAACCATCTCCAATCGATTCTCCAAGATCTGGCGATTCGAAAGAGGGTAAATACTGGTATGGATGGGGGTGTGGTGGACTAGCAACGCGTTGAGGGCGATAGAGACCGGCCACGGAGGGCGCAAAGAGGGTCGGCGGGAGCAGAAAGTCGTTTTCCACATTTTCCACATTCGCCCGCCCTGCTCCTCCTCTCCACCAATCAGCATCCGCCGCTCCGGCGCGGTTGATCGACCGCTCCTCACTGCGCTTTTTACCTTCTCCTCTGGCACTTTCAACCTTTCTTCTATCCTCCTCCCCTTCCCCGAATCGTGCGCTTTTTATCTCTTCCCACCACCCCGCCACCGCTAACGAATTGTTGTCTATCCCTGTATACTTACGACGCGTTTACTCTCGGTAAGTCCGCGAGTTTACTCCATCTTTGTTCTCCACTGCTGCCGAGTCGCCTCGATCTCCTGCTCCCCCCCAAAAAGTCTGGACCGATCTTGACACCACCTCTCGGCATCGTTCGGATCTTATATCGCGCGTGGCAGACCCAAAATACCTATCGCATACCCTCTCAATCTATATACATCGGAAATATTGGCTGATCATATCGCGTGCTGTCTAGTCGATTTATCCTCGAGCTCGGTCGCGGTCGTCTCCGGTAGACTGACGCGTACTACACCTTCGTCAAAAGACCATGGTATGGCCATATCGCATACCCCGATTCGAATCCCTCGTGGAAGAATACTCGACGCGGAGGTAGAATCTATTCTTGGAGGACACGCGCAGCTTACATTGTGTCCTAGGTCTTTTTCAAACGGAAGCCGGTCACATACCTCCCACGACCCGTGATTCAAGATGACAACTCTGAGGTATCTATATCGCATGGGAATGCTTGAAGAAGAAGAACCAGACGATTGACATGACGATGTAGGTCTGGGTTGTCCCAGAGACCAGCGAGGTCTTCACGAGCTATGAGGCGTACCTCGCCAGGATGGACTTTTACAAACAGCGTCGGTTTATTTGTGAAATTACCGGCCATTCTGGCCTGAACTTCTTCGAGGCAATGCGCAGTGAGGTATGTCGTTGCCTTCGCTCCGCCATGCGGTTCCTTCGTGAGGGGCAGATACTTATCTCGACATTAGATGGAGGAATCGCGCGAGGTGAACAGCAGTTTCCCGGAAGCGCTGAGAGAGCCAATTTTGCGTCGAATTCAATTCTCTACAGTCTCAAGGGTCGATCATCTGGGTATGTCTTCTTGATTGATATTCTGAAGTTGACCACGGACTAACGGTGATTTAACTAAAAGTGGACGAGATATTTGAAGTGAGAAGAACCGTATTCGCTGAAATGTGCGACAATACTAACGAGCCGCTCTAGGAATTCAAGTCCGATTTTTACCCCGGAGAAAATGTGCTAATCATCTTGGAAGATGGCAGTAGGCTACATGGGATTATCAGGGATAAGGCAAACTTCGCCGAACAACTATTTGCTGATGGCACTGTTAAAAAGCCAGCGGTTTCTACGTATCTGGTCAAGATCCTCGATCGTCCGAACGAGGAGGCCCTGTTGGACCATGATCATATCACCCGCGACCGGAAGGCTTTCACCAAGCTGATGCTACGGGGGTTCATTAAGCACAACGTGACTCGCGAATCTTGGACTGGTGCGCCTTGGCTTGTCAAAGCTTCGATTGCCGACGAATATAAGATATCCACCGAGGTCCCAAAGCACCTTCAGTACGGCTCAAAGGTCGCGGAGAAGAAGGCAATGAAGAAGGCAGACCAAGACGGATATTTCGGCTTCTTTTCTTCCCAGCAACTGCCAGCGCTCAAACCAGCTATGAAAGGGCAGAAATCCAAATTGTCTACCCAAGATCTAGCAAAATCTAGCCAGGCGCAGTACGAGGAGTATCAGCGATCGCTGAATGGCAACCCCTCATTTCTCCTTCCAAACAATCCCCTGCGCCCATCGAAGCCACCGCTGGTCGGTGACAAGAAAATGCATCCGCCTGCTGCGATTATCAAGAGCGAGCCGACGGCTCCCTCCCCTCCGCCGATCCGTTATCCGATGGAAGATTTGGAGCTTCCACCCTGCCGAGATGACAAACACCGGCCAACCTTGAAGTTCATGATGCTAGGCGAGTCAGATGATGATGGCGCCGAGGATCTTTTGCCCGATGACTTGGAGCCTGATTCCGTTGGGTTGCTTCTGGAGACCTGGGATACTCTCAACGTTTACTGTGAGGTATTCCAGATTGACTCATTCACTTTTGATGATTTTCTTCAATCTATGCGCTTCTCTTCAGAGCAAATGGACTGTGAACTCTTTGTAGAATTACATTGTGCGATTCTGAAGAAATTGGTCAATTCGGAACATGAGAATGGTGCTATCCAGATCAATCTCCCCGATTTCCCTGCTGAAGAATCTGACGATTCAGAGGAAGACGATGAAGACGAGGAAGATGAAGAAGATGATGAAGAAGAAGAACCCGAGGAATCGGCTGGAAGAATGACTACCCGAGGAAGTTTGGCCAAGAAAGAGCTGGAGACGCTGAAAACGCAAATTGATGAAGAGGACGAGGAAGATACTCAGATCCATCGTGCCGCAGAAATGTTCACCAACTATGGATGGATTGATCGCCTTCGTCGACGGGACTTCCGCAATGGTGGATGGGAATTGGTGATGATCGGTCTCCTGCACCAGCTGTCTGTTCGCCCTCGCTATGAGGTGACCTGCAATGAGATCCTCAAGCATCTAGCACCGCTCGATGCGAAGCCAACCCAGAAAACTGCTCAACAACAGTACAGTACTCTCGACATCAACCTACGTGTCAAGGCTCTCCAGATCATCACCCTGCTCAGCTTAGAGACAAAGGCCATCCGAAACTATCTGGAGGAATGCAGCAACCAAATGACCGAGTTCCGGAAGGTGAAAATCGAACACCAAAAAGCACGCAAGGCAGCGTAAGTAGCACAGTGGCTTTGATCGTCTGACTTGTTGATAGATACTAATTTCTTTTCCTAGTCTCGTCGAACTTCGCCAGCTCCACCTGGATCGGAAAGCTCTCCAACCGGAACCCGAAAAGAACGAAAACGAAAAGAAGGAAAAATCACCTTCACCCGTACCAGAACTCGACGGGATTGATGATTCCAAGTTGACTCTCGAAGGGGATTCTGAGATGCCGATCGATTCGGAAGATGAAGATACGCCTCGGCCACGAGCACTACGCGGAGGCGTCGATCGTGCCCTCGAGCGAAAACGAAAACAAGAGATTGAGCGAGAACGCAAGGAGCAGCTGGCCAAGCAGCCCAAGGGTTCTAAGCAATATCAGAAGGTTCTGAAGAAGATCGAGGACCAGAAAGCAAAGATTGAGAAGCTCCAGGACGAAATTGACATAGTCGATAACGACCTGCGTGAGGCCGACTGCCCACGAACACGTTGCCTAGGACTGGATCGCTTCTGCAATCGGTACTGGTGGTTTGAACGCAACGCAATGCCTCGCGAGGGTATGCCGGATAGCTCCACCTCCGAGGCCCAGTACGCCAACGGCCGCCTTTGGGTGCAAGGTCCCGACGATATGGAGCGTGCGGGCTTTATTGAATTGACCGATGAGCAACGCAAAGTTTACCACAAACATTTCCAGACTACCCCTGCCGAGCGCAAGAAGCACGAAGAAGGGTCCACACACCTGGCGAATGCTCGTGAATGGGGCTACTACGAGGAGCCGGAGTCGATTGAGCAGCTAATGGAATGGCTGGAGCCGCGAGGGAATCGCGAACACAAACTCATGAAGGAACTACAGCTGCAGAAGATTCATATTGTGAAGTACATGAAGAACCGTCAGGCCTACCTGGTCGACTCTCGTGAGCGCGCGGAGTCCGAGGAAATGCCCACCAAGCGAGTCACCACTCGCAACAAGACGTATGTCGATGTGAATGAGCACGGTCTCCGCTGCCTCCGATGGAGTAATACAACTGCCATGAACGAGGTCGGACATCTCCACGTGGACCCTGATCGACCAGCCAAGCGACAGAAGCGCAATACAGACGACACCCGCGAGACCAAGGCAGCACGAGGCAAGGCATTGACCCGACAAGGTTCCCGTCGAGGGTGATCTGATCTGGGACTTGGGAGTGTCTTTATTGGCATTTACCTTTACTTCTCTTCTGTACTTTTGATTCTCTCGCATCTACTGGATATCATGCGACCACGATCTTGTAACATTCCTGGCTTTGTTGAACTGCTGTATACATTCCGTGCATCTGCGCTGGGGGGTGGGGGGGAAGGAGTCGGGGTGGTTTTCACTGTGATTATTGATTGACTGTGTGAATTGTTTTCTGTCTCACTATTTTTACTATTTTATTATTCCAAAACCCCGATAGAAATGCACACACATAGACTCTACCCTCAGGGTATATCACCGATTCTTGCCGTCCCAAGTGTCTAAGTAGGCTGACCATTCGGTTGTTCGGGACTCGTTGGGTGGTCCCGCTTCCCGCCACCCGTGTATTTTATGGTTATTCTGTGTATTTGTATTGTCATCTAGCGGCTAAACGCGGGGGGCGGCTGGTATCGGCATGTCAGGCCTGTACGCCGAAGTGTCCACGGCAAAAGACGTCAGCGCTCCCATCGGGGAGATCTTTTGCCTCCAAAGTTTTGGCTCTTTTTCACTTTCTTTCACTCTCGTTCTTTACTTCCCCCCTCCGACAGATCCCTCTCCACCGCTCTGATCGTCTTGTCGTTCTTGTGGTGTCGCTGTATCACCTGGTCCCCTATCCCGACGATCCTCCGGTAAACCGAGACCAAATCAACTTTTCCCAGATATCGCCGAGTGATCACGAGGGGAAGACCGTTATTCCCCAGACCCTCTTCCTCGGTGCGCCTCGGCCGCACACTTGCGCACATTGCGCCTCCCCCCCTCCTCTCATGTCGACGGGCCTCCCAGATCATGCCCACATTCATTCCGATATTCTGCCACAACCACGTCAATACCTTTCCTCAAGCGCGGATACCAGTCCGCATCTCAACTCTCCGATGAGTGGGATCGCACACCAACGAGCCTCTCCGGCGCCGATCACAGGTGGCACAAGTGGCCAGTATATCAATGCGGACGAGCAAAAGAACAAGGGCAACAAGCCCGTCCAGAAGAAAAGTCTCGACTACATATTACGAAGCGGTCTAGCAGGAGGAGCCGCGGGCTGTGCGGTAAGTGCACGGAGGTGCAAGTGAAAGTGGAAGAGCGGAAACCACCACTTTTATTTTGCCTTTTCACTGGGAGAATACTCTTACTGACTATGAGATGGTTTATAGGCCAAGACCGTCGTCGCACCCCTCGATCGCGTCAAGATCCTCTTCCAAGCATCGAACCCGCAATTTGCAAAATACACAGGCAGCTGGTCCGGACTTCTAGCTGCGATTAACGACATCAAGCGGTATGAAGGCTCCAGGGGCCTGTACAAGGGCCACTCGGCCACTCTTCTCCGTATCTTCCCATACGCTGCCATTAAATTCCTCGCCTACGAACAAATCCGCGCCACCCTCATCGCCTCGCCTGAACAAGAGACTGCAATCCGCCGTTTAGTATCCGGCAGTCTGGCTGGCATCACCTCTGTCTTCTTTACATACCCGCTCGAGCTGATCCGCGTACGATTGGCATTCGAAACGAAACGCACATCCCGGTCATCCTTGACAGATATCTGTAAACAAATCTACAATGAACGCATCACACCCCCATCCTCTGGCGCTACATCAACAGCCAAAGCCGCTGCCACAGGCACACCACAAGCATCCACAGGCGCCATCGTCGCCGAGAATGTTTCGTCAACAGTCAACCAGGCCGTTCCCCGATCTGGCCTCGCGAACTTTTACCGTGGCTTCGGCCCCACCATCCTCGGCATGCTCCCCTACGCGGGCGTGTCGTTCCTAACTCACGACACAGTGGGCGATTGGCTTCGTTACCCCTCTGTCTCGGCGTACACCACGATTCCGGACTCAGAGAGCAAACCGAAGAAGGGATCTCGACATCCCCAACTGACGGCCGCGGCGGAGCTTTTCTCCGGCGCCGCCGCCGGTCTCGTGGCGCAAACATTCTCATACCCGCTTGAAGTTGTCCGAAGACGGATGCAGGTTGGCGGCGCTGTTGGTGATGGCCGCCGCATGGGTATCCTTGAGACTGGCCGGAAGGTCTGGCTTGAGCGGGGATTCCGAGGGTTCTGGGTTGGTTTGACAATTGGGTATATTAAGATTGTACCGATGAGTGCGACCGCCTTTTTCGTCTATGAGCGCTTGAAGTGGTCATTGGGGATTTAAATGTGCGGCCAGACGCAGGATTCTCCCATCGAACACCGGGTAACTTTATCTCAGCTGTTCCGAGCAATACACCCAGAGGGCTATTGAAGCACCCGCGCGATAGTTCGCGACGAGGTTTGGCCGAGGACTCTCTGGCTCACAGCTTGTCGCCTTCTTTGCAAGTCAAAGTCTAGCAATCATGGGGACTTTGTTCCCGTGTTTCCTCCGACACCCAATCTTCTATGTTCTCAGCGTTGAACACGACCTTTCAGTTTCTCAATGCATATGATACTAGCTTAAGGGCAAATGCCTTTGGCGATAGATCGTTCTATTTATTCTCTTGTGCGCTGAGTGGACCATCCCTCAGCCTTTGATTCCCACTGCTTGGCGTTTTGGTTATTTTCCTGCACTTTCTTTTTCGTTCGCGAGGCATAGAAGAGCCTGAAGATACACATATCTCATACATACATACCGGGCAGGATAGATCTGTCCTTGCTGATACCAATTTCACAAATTTTTCACCCACCTCAATACTACAATTCTCCCAAGTGGCTGGAAGTAAGATCTTAAACTATTCCGAGTCTTCTCATGGTCTTTGTTTGTAGTGGTTAGTTAGTACATGCTGTATCTCTATGAGTGTCGAGGTGGGTCGGCGGAGCGGCGTAGCGCACGGACCACAACAAAAAAAAGTTCAGGCCATTGCGACTCGCCATGATCCTCTCTTCAAACGACCACAAAATGACTACACGCAAGCATAACGAGTTCCTCGACCTCCCAAGCGAAGATGAAGAGCAGAGTGACCGCGGCTATGACTCCGAGGAGAACGTGACGAAAAACAAAGGCCACAATGTGAAGCGACGCCGAACGGCAGACACCCAAGACCTGTTCGGTCTGCAATCAGATCAGTCCGACGAAGAAGACTCCGAAGACGACACACCCGAGGAGAAGGGTAGAGCGCGCAAACATGCGAAGTCTCGCAAGGAAGCAGCCTTCGACGAGGAGGTAGAGGAGGAGGCGGAGGAGGAGGATGCAGAGAACAGCAATGGAGAAGAAGAGGACGATTACCTCGACTTAACGGCCTCCAAGTCCTCGAAAACCAAGAAGCCGCTTATCACAAAGCCCGTTAAGCCGACCAAAAAGTCGAAATCAAAGCCCGGTGTCATCTACCTGAGTTCCTTGCCACCATACCTCAAGCCCTCCGCTCTACGGTCCTTCCTAGAGCAGCGTGGATTTGCGCCTATCACGAGGGTATTCCTACAACCGACGGTCAAAGGTAATGGCGCGCCGAAGCGACAGTCCAATAAAAGGAAGACATATTCTGATGGATGGGTGGAATTTCAAAGCAAGGCTACGTACGTTTGTCAGTGGAAACTACTTATGCTCGGCTTTGCTGATATTAATTATAGGGCTAAACTTGCCGCCGAGACATTGAACTGTCAACTCGTTGGAGGAAAGAAGGGGTCGTGGTATCATGATGATATTTGGAACATGAAGTATCGTGAGTAGTACCGAGCAGGTCCAGCCATGTTCATACTGATGCTAACATACCACACTCTAGTTCGTGGATACAAATGGTCGGACCTGATGGAGCAAATCCAGAGAGAGCGCGCAGAGAGGGAATCGAGACAACGTGCCGAGGACTTGCGCGCCAAGAGGGAAGAGAAGGTCTTTATGGCGGGCGTGGAACGTGGACGAGTCGAGGAGGGTATGGCCAAGAAGAACGATGCGAAGAGGAAGAGACAAACGGAAGCGGGAGACACTGCCGAGGTCAAGGCTCCGGCGAAGGCCCCAGAGAACCCAAAGAAGCCCCGGAGGACATTCGTTCAGAACGATGTTGTTTCTGCGAAGAAAACGGAGACGATTGGAGATGATGCGAAGAGGGTGTTGGGCAAGATCTTTTGATTCGGTTTTCATTGTGATCCCCATCATTCAAACTACTGTATAGAGATATCCATGTTCTACATTACTACCAAGGAATATTTTCATGATAAAGAGAAATATTTGCACTGCGCAAGCTATTCACACTGCCATAATCTAAATGTTCAGAACTTTTATGATTTCTTGAAAGCCCGTCAGAAATTTCAAATAAACGCCAGCCATGATCGTCAAGGATATCACTCGTAGAAAGCTCATTCGTCACCCATCTTAAGCTCATCAAAGTCATCAAGCAGCTCGTCCATGTTGATCTTTGGTACCTCGTCGTCACTGCCACTATCTTCCTCCATCTGATCAGCACTCTGAGCCGCCTTGCGAGCTTTATAGATATCCAAGGTTTGCTGCAACTCCTGGTCCTCCTCGACATCGCGCAAGAACATCTCGAAATCGGCCTCCATACGGTTGGCCTCCTGTTCCTGGCGCTTGGTAGGGGCGGCGGGAGCACTGGAGGCAGCAGCAGCCTCCTCCTCGTACTCGCGAGCCATACGTCTGAGGCGCCAGGCGCGGTTCTTGGGCTTCTTCTTGCGAGCGTAGTGCTTCTTCACCAAGACCACATCAGGAAGTGTGGAGCCGTACTGGTGGCTGTTCTCGATGGCCTCGTAGTTGTCATCGTTGAAGATGGTACCAGCCAAATGGTAACCCATAGCGGAGTCTCCGACGTGGAGGACACCACCAAGGTGAGTTCGTGTGAAGTAGGTAATGTCATTAGACCCCAAGTCAGAGGCACGGGCAACAGTGGCCTCGGCCAGGAAGAATCGACCATTGGATTGACCAACAGGCTCAATATCCATAATGACAAATTCTGTCAGGTGGGTGACATCTGAAATGTTCTTGAAAGGCGAGCGCCAGTAAACGCCAGTAGGGACTTCACAGGTTTGGAGGGTTTGGGGATCGATGAGGTTGACGGCACTACCGACGCGGTGGCAGAGTGTCAGGGGAGAGATGTTGCCCAGCTGACGGGCTAATTTGATTGGAAGCGCAACCAAGTCATCCTTGCAGATGGGGATGATCTCACAGGACCAAGTGTGTTTATATTGAGCGACTGAAGGAGTAAACATGTTAGATTAAATGCTTGGTGGAAGGGAGGAAAACGTAAGACTTACCGGATGTATGAATATCCATCGAGATGAGCTCCTGGGACTTCTTGGAAGTAATGGGAGCAACACTGCAGAGGAATTCGACCATTCGTTCGGCTTCATTACGCTTAGCGTAGTAGAAATCCAAACCGTCCTTCGCCTCCTTGATATTGACTGTGTCCTTGTGTGCACCGTTCTTCAAAATGAGCTGCTCGAGGTACAAGAATGTACGCTTGTGGGGGACCTTCTGGCGAAGCTGGATGGATGCGCGCCAGGCGTGGTGGGTGAAACTCTTCTGACAATCCGGGCATTGTTGTGTGGCGACGACGTACTCAACCTCGAAGCTCTGCTGAATGATCGTACCCTGGAAAGCCTCTTGCTGAATCGTAAGTTTGACCTTCACACGACGGGAGTGAGGCTCAGTCCAGATGAAACTGGCGTCAATAATTCGGACTTTTGATAGACCACGGAGGCGGCGCAGACAGATGGCGAGTAGTTCTTTCGATTCGGGGGCAGCGACAAGCCAGCTGGTCGGGGGCTGCAGCCAACGCTCACAGTCCTTGCAAAAATGCAGGGTTGATTCACGTTGCACTCCTTGGGAGACATCGACCGAAAGACGAACACAATCCTGGCAGAGCGCTCCGGCAGCGGTAGTTCCATCGATAGGAGCACCACAGTTGCAGCAGAGAATACTGGATAAGTTAGTATTTGAAATTCACAATTATCGGAGTAGTAGAAAAAAACCCCTCCGCGATAAGAGAAAAAAAAAAGAAGACTCACGTTGCAGAGATGGCCTGCTCCTGCTGCATCCCCACCATGGGAACGGGGGCATCCAGATCCATCGACATCTTGACGAGATTCCAATCGGATATACTCGAAAATCAAGGGAGTCTGTGAGAGGATAAAGTCACGAACAGATCGATTTGTAACTTTTGCCCCGCCATGGCCGAATCTTTTATCGCTGACTCATCGTTTGTCTTGTTTGCAGCCGCAGTATTGTCGGCTTACTCACCGCCTACGATTTCTGCCAATATCGCGTAGGAATTCGAGCGATCTTGTAACTTGAAGGTTCAGTACAATAGCGTCGCCATGAGCAGAGCCTTATTACGCGGGGCCGTGTGCCATAACTGTCGCCATGAGGTCCTTCGGTCATTTATGGCTGTATCGGGATGCCGATACCCCGATACACCTACACCCCTCGACACATGTTCACCCCCAGAGCTTTCTCAACTGTAGGCCCGTTGCGGTCTGATCGCCCTCCTGCCTCACAAAATCCCGATATCAATGTTTCGTCAGTGGAGAATACGGTCACCGAAGTCGAAAATGACGGATCCACCTCTGCATCTCATGTGCCCTGGTACCTGCAGGATGAGCCAACCGCCGACGATTCCCGACCCGTATCTGGAGATCACATCCCGGAAATCCCAGAAAATTCCCCCGAATTACTCCCTGTCCTTCTCGAATATTCGTACAAAGACCTCGGCTTGGATAAACTGAAACTTTTTGATCTTCGTGGTCTCGAAACACCAGCCGCACTGGGCGCCAATGTCATCATGATAATTGGAACAGCACGAAGTGTGAAGCATCTGAACGTAGCCGCAGATCGTCTGTGTAGGTGGCTTCGGGCCACGTACAAGCTTTCACCATTTGCAGATGGCTTACTTGGACGCAATGAGCTGAAGATCAAGCTCCGTCGCAAGGCCAAGCGAGCGCGCGCTGCTGCCGATGCCGGCAGGATGGTGGATGACAAGGATGATGGCATCACGACGGGTTGGATCTGTGTTAATTCGGGCGTTGTAGACAAAAACGCTGTTGGATTGGACCTCAAGGATGCCGGGTTTGAAGGCTTTGGTCAGCTTAATACTGGTACCAACGTGATTGTTCAGATCTTCACTGAGGAGAAGCGAGCCGAAGTCGACCTGGATGGTCTGTGGCAAGGGAACTTTGACCGTGCCGAACGGAAACGCCTCCGCGAACTTCAACAAGACAATGCGGAACCTGCGACAAAGACCGAATCCTCGGCAACTGACCGCTTTTTGAATAATGCTTCCAGCTATCCCAGTGGTCAGAAAAGAGGTCTTCACACTAGTCGCGAAGGTGCCTCGTCTTCCACCAGATCTGTGGACCCAGCTACCGCTTTTGCAGCTTCATCAGTCCCCGGAAAGACACCTGGAATGTCTACTGCATCACTGCTCAAGATGTTGACTGGACTTCCCGAGGAGAATGCCAGAATCGAGCTTGGAACAGGACCTGATGATTATCAATCTACTCTGTTTTTACGACTGCTTAACGAGAGCCTTCCGGCCAATATTTCCCATGAAGCCCTCGCGGCATTGCGCCTAAAACTGGCTACGATTGCCATTGCCTGCCACCACCCGGCATACAGCAAGCCTGCCTTGTCTGCTTCATTTACCGAATATCTCGGCAATGCTTACGATCTGGAGGACGGTCTCGCTTTTGAGATTGTCTCCGCGCTCCTGGCCCCGCAAAAGCTTCAAGACAGTCATGGACAGCCTGTCTCATATCTACCCGAGGCAGACATCGAGCTCGCTCTGCAAGTTCTCGACCGTCTCAGCCTCCGAGGTGTCCCGATTCTCAACATGAAAGTATTCAATATGCTCTATCGCGTAGCTGATACTACAACCAAACTCCCATCGAAGGAAGATCGTTCCCAGTCAAAAATTACACCGCAATCGACAACCGGCAATGAATGGTCTGAATCCCAGCGTCAGATGCTGAACCGTTTGTCAAAAATCGTTTCTGGTGCCAATGTCGCCTTTGACGAAGAAGAGGCCCGCCAGCTCATGGCAACCCAGTTTCGATGTGAAGACTACGATGGATTTTGGCGTCTCTGGCGGAAATTTCCCCTGAAAGGTGTCATCCGCACACCCGAAGACTATGCCCAGTTGTTCCAGCTGCACGCTGACCTTGGAGATGAACGACGGGCGCGCGAGTGTGTCTCCGAGTGGGTGCCTATGATGGAAAGAGAGGTTACTCCAGTGCGGCTGCAGGGTCCAATTGTGACCCCCCTCATGCACTGCATTCTGGTCGCGGACCCTGACATTCAATCTCGGGCCGAGAGGAAGACTCCTAGTTCCTTCTTAGGTGTCTGGACTCAGTGCCAGGAGGCACTTGCCAAGGGCAATTGGTGAAGAAAGAAGAAAGGCTGGCGGATCTAATAATATCCATGGATCCCTTGTATTATAGCTGTAGCATACTAAACTTTGTTTATTAAAATATTCGCATACATTTAAGAACCCGTCGGTTTCTCAACTCTCCAATAAAAACCAACAATTGGCAAGGGATGATTGCCAAGCTCAGTTTATATCGGTGCATACCGCGTACATTTGAAGCTCAGACCATTTCCGTGCGGAGAATGCGGAGTAACCCACTTCAACCTCTAGATGCCTTGGCCTGCATTACATCGACGTCGGTAGTTTCTAGCATGGTAGAAAATACCCATTGGCATTTCTTAGCTATTGCAAACATACAGGGATTGTTTATGTAGACCCATTGAATTGACTCTTAAACAACTGTACCTGTAGGAGTGTGATATACTAAGATGAAAAGTAAAGATAGAAGAGATTACGTGCTTCTGATGACTGCGAGTGGCGAGGCCTCAGCGCGTCATTGCGCCTTTCTTCCCCGCAAACTGACCCGCGGCATTTACTAGTACTTGAACTTAAGTTTGATTCCTTCAAAAGGATTCCATTTCCCCTCTCCAGACATTTGTTACACCCAAAAAAAAGCAACAAGGAAAAGCCCTGGTGTCACTATGCACTCCACCGTTCTCCTGCTGGCCCTGGCAGGCCACTTATGCAGTGCGATCCCTGTACAAGATGGTCCCCAACAACGCCTGTTAAATGGCCTTGAACTCCCTAAATCTTACAATAGTGTGACGGGAGGCGGTCGCATCCCGTTCACACCGGGCCACCGAGACCCTTACGATAAAGCTGTTGATACAGTTGGTGATGAACTCGACCCTCTCCCCTGGCGCAATGGATTAGGCGCTTCGGTCCTGGGGCCTTGGAACAAGGATCGTTCCCGACAGAGCCCCGATCTTGTGCGACCTCCCAGTACCGACAAGGGCAATCTGGCTAATATGCGCTGGAGCTTTGCTGATTCCCATATCCGTATTGAGGTAAGGGCTCTTTCCTCTTCATAGTTCCCTTTCCCAAGTCAGTTACCAAACCAATATTACAGGAAGGAGGATGGACCCGCCAGACCACCGTTCGTGAACTCGGAACAAGTGTCGAGCTTGCTGCTGTCAACATGAGACTTGATGAGGGTGTGATCCGAGAGCTTCACTGGCACAAAGAGGCTGAATGGGCGTATGTTCTCGATGGCGAAGTTCGAGTGACCGCGCTTGATTACGAGGGCGGGAACTTCATTGATGACTTGAAGAAGGGTGATATTTGGGTTAGTACTACATACTTCCCTTCCTTCCTTTAGGGCCTACCTTTAAATTGCGCACCATAGCCACAGGGGCTGACATTATCCTTTCTTTAGTATTTCCCTAGCGGCGTGCCTCACTCCCTACAAGGCTTAAGCCCCAATGGAACGGAATTCCTTCTCATCTTTGATGACGGACGATTCTCCGAGGAATCGACCTTTATCCTGACGGATTGGCTTGGTAAGCGCTATAACATGTCCAACGATTGTCCGTTTGCTGGACTAATACATCGATAACATATAGCACATACCCCCAAATCTGTGCTATCCAAAAACTTCAACCTGGACCCCAGGGTGTTCGCCCATATTCCCGACGGCGAGAAATACATATTCCAGGGCTCCAAGCCAGGCTCTATAGATGATGAGGCTCCCCGCGGCAAGCAGGCGAAGAAGTCCAAGTATCAATTCACCCACCGAATGCTCGACCAAGAGCCTATCAAGAGCAGCAACGGCGGAGGAGAAGTCCGAATCACCGACTCCAATAACTTCCCCGTCTCCAAGACTGTCTCAGCCGCACATGCGATCATCGAGCCTGGCGCTATCCGGGAAATGCACTGGCATCCGAATGCCGATGAATGGTCATTCTTCATCAAGGGCCGTGCCCGAGTGACCATCTTTGCTGCCGAGGGAACCGCTCGTACATTTGACTATCTTCCCGGCGATGTTGGCATTGTGCCTCGCAACATGGGCCATTTCGTCGAGAATATCGGTGATGAACCTGTTGAGATGCTGGAGGTTTTCCGCGCCGACGAGTTCCGAGATATTTCCTTGTTCCAGTGGATGGGCGAGACTCCCCAGCGACATGTTGCGGATACTCTCTTTGCTGATGATCCTGAAAATGCGAAGAAATTCCTGGAACGAATTCAAAACCATGAACATAACGTTGTTACCAAGCCCGACTTTGTTCGTGAAGGTGGCCGATCGGGTATGGAACTATAACCGATGGCTTATTGGGTTAGAAAGTAGATATTGTATCTCTCTTAGAATATGGATCCTGGAACATAGTTGCTTGCAGATAGGAGAGTTTAAGTTGGAATATGAGGTACCATTATTCACCGATACCAGGTATACTGTAGTTAGTCCCAGCCATAGTCAGTCATAGTCATAGTCAGGCGGGTGTCAATGAACCTCGGCTTCCGCCGATCCCCCCGTTCTCCTTCCGGCAATCCACTCTCCACTCCGCAACCTTCACACCACCACCTCCTCCATCTATCTCCCCCTCCATCTCCTTCTCTGGTCGACGATGACTGGTGCTCTTGAAAATGGAGTACCTTCCTAGTCTTCAACAAGAGTTCGATGAGCATAAGCCATCACTTTTCGGTGAGTCTCAACGCCATTTGCGGGGGAGTCATCCCCGGACGGGGGACTCTATCGCCTTCATCGGCCAATCTAAGCTGCGTCGCGGTCACGAACACGATCGCTAACAAGTCTGTGATTTCCCTAGAACTCCTTGCCGAACAACAACTCTCCGATCTCCTCCCACCTTCTATTCGATACCTTCTCGCGGTCGCGACTCACCGCCACCCCCGGTACCTTCTCCGGATCCTCAATTCATATAACGAAGTCTACGCCCTCCTCTCCCTCGTTGTCGAACGCTATTATCTGCGCACCTTCGGCGGGTCTTTCACAGAGAACTTCTACTCTCTCAAGCGCGAGCGCGTTCTCCGCACCAAGAATGGCGAAATCCCACGCGCCCAGGTCGGCGCCGACGGTCCCGTCCGCGACGCCCTCAAATTGCACACCACCGACGTGTGGAAGAACCTGTTGGTGATGGTCGGTGTTCCATATCTCAAGCGCAAGCTAGACGAAGGATATGACATCCACGCTGCGCCACAAGCGTCTCTGGTGATGGGCGGCGGGCCGCGATACAACCCCAGCGACGACCTCCCTCATAACCCGACAGTGCGCCAGCGCATCTTCCACTACTATAAGTGGTTCCTGCGCAATGTCTACCCATCTGTGAATGCGGCATACTACTTTTCCGTTCTGGCGTTCAACCTCGCCTATCTCTTCGATAATACCAAATATTCCTCTCCATTCCTCTGGCTGATCGGCTCTCGCATTCGCCGCCTGGGGTCCGCCGACCATCGTGCCATCGCTGCAGTTCTAGATCCCAAGCCCGCCCCCGGCGGAAGTCGATCCCAGCGACCAGGCTCGGGATTGATGGGCCTGCTCAGCCCACAGAACCTGAATACCCAGCTTCTGACCTCTCTTCGCTACTTCCTCCCAGCATCTATCTTTGCACTGAAGTTCCTGGAATGGTGGCATGCTAGTGACTTCTCTCGTCAACTGTCCCGAAAAGCGACAGAAGTTCTTGATCTCCCAGCCCCCGTGATCTCAGGCCTCACTAATACGGCCGAGCGAAAGAAGTCTGCGGAAGAAGAGGAGAAGAAGAAGAAGCAGGTCGCTGAGCAAGAGAAGAAGGCTGCTTCTGGAGATCTCAAGTCAGCTCTCAAGTCACCACGACGACACCAACCGCCTATTTCAGCGACCTCCTATCTTCCCATCTTCACTGTTCCTCTACCTCCAGCCGATACTTCCAGCGCTAATACATGCCCTGTCTGTCTGAACGCTTTGACAAATCCGACCGCCTGCCAAACAGGCTACGTTTTCTGCTATGTCTGTATCTTCCACTGGTTGAACGGCGAGCACCAGCGACAATTGGACTTCATGGACGGAGAAGGTGCCGGCGCCGCGTGGGAAGAGGAGATCACTGGCGATGACGAGGAGGAGGAGGATGAGGAGAAGAACGACGGGCGTGCCAAGGAAGAGACTGGATCGCGCAAGCGTGGTGGGAAATGGGAAAGTGGGAAGGGTAGGTGTCCCGTTACAGGGCGAAGAGTCCTTGGGGGCACGGATGGTCTGCGAAGAGTATTGATTTGATTTGATTTGATCCGATGCATATACACTGTATTCTTACATATACCATCATGGCAATAGAGTCCATTTCCTGTCCCGAAAAGTGTCCACTAGTCAATTGCTGTCAATTGGATGGTAGAAGGCAAATGTTGGGAACTATTCTTTTTTTCGAGAAAAGAAGACTGAGACAAAAGCAAGAATTGAACCTGCTTCCTTCCGGTAACAGTATAAAATGGGGCTGTCCTAGGTCAATGCAAGTTCTGGACGAGTTGGATGGAGTTGGATCTACAGAAAGACCACCACATACAATCATCTTATGATATTGGACGAAAACACCCATCCCGAATATTTTAGAATTCAGAAAAAAAGCAGAGAATAATATTCTATGGTATACCAGAATTGAAACAGGAAAAAAAAGAACAAAAAAACCTACGACCACCTCTCCACGTGTGCACCCGCTTTAAGGTGTTGTACTGTCGCAGCCCGCCCACTCCCGAGTCGTCTCATCGGTACATGGTCCTAGACAGCCATGCATCGCTATCTGGTGCTGCCTGTCAGATAGGCCCGGTAGGTAGTGGTGGCTAGAACCTGTTTCCCACTACACCATTGGCGAGAACTTGACAGAGAAAAGGGTTCATCCAATCCTAGACGAGCCCTGGTTAATAGAAGGAGGTTATTCGTGTTGTTTTCCGAGTATCAACCGAAAATGGTCTTGTGCGAGAGTAGTATGAAATGCTCTTCGATTTTTCAACAATAATGCTTCTATTTACAGTCTATCCATGTCTATGTATTCCTCTCATTCCAATTGCCTGATCAATGTATCGTAGTCGCCCTCTCAAGAGCAGGTTCCTCGGGCGTCATCATCGCCCCCGGATTACTTTCATCAGCCTTCTTCTCTTTCAGTGTATGCGTCATAATTCTCTGCATATACTCTTCGGACTCGGCTGCGTACTTACACTTCGATCTGATCACAGACCCGTACTTATAGAAAAGGAACGGAATCGGAATGCAAGCAACCGAGAGAAACGCCGGGATCGATGGAGCCCAGTGAATCCCCAGATTACCATACATATAGATCGAGATGACGGGGAAGATCGCACCGAAGACAGAGCGGAGAACTGCATTCGACGCGAGGACTGATGCCGAGTAGATCGTGTATGAATCAATCAAGTAGTTCATGATCCCGAGGTAAATCAGGATGACGCCAATTCCAAACGGCGCCGTGTCAATGATAGAGACGATCCAGTGGATGGATGGATAATTCGTCCACGCGAACCAAAACTGGCTAATAGAGATCAAAACAGCACCTGGCATACATTGCACCAGACGTGTCTCTGGTGGCGCGCGGCCACCGTGAGCATCCATGGTCTTGATGTAGTGCATATTTGCAGGGATCGTACACGCAATACCAATGAGCATGCCGACCAAGATGCCCAGGAAGGAAAGACCGCCGACACCTGGATTCCATCCACGACCTTTTTCAAAGACGATAGGGAAAGCGTCGAAGAACATATACAGCGTACCGTAGACGATAGCAATGTATACCGCGCAAAGAAAGACAATCGGCTCCTTCAGAAGGAGAGCCCAGGGTCGAAGAAGCGACTTGTTCAACAAATTCCCCAATGACACCCGGCCTTTATCGATCTCAACTTTGCTTCGATATACTTTACCCGTGATCTGCGAGAGGGTCTCGGCGCGTCGACGTAGTAGAACTGGAGGGTATGTTTCAGGAATGATCAGTGTCGAGAGAATCCAAACGAAACCAGCCGTCGCAGCAAGCAAACCCTCAACCCATCTCCAACCAGCCTTTATCCCCAAAAAGCCACCAATGATGGGACCGAGCGACGGGCCTAGGAAGGGCGCAGCAGCGTACAAACTCAGCGCTAAACCGCGGTGCCTCGCTGAGTATAAATCCGAGATTGTTCCGCCAGCATTGCTGAAAGGGGACGAGCCAAAGCTGCCAGCAAAGAAACGAAGAATGCAGAGCGTCCAGATATTCTGCGCGCCCGCACAACCCGCCAAGAACGCAGCGAGACAGAGCATGCTAATGAAGAACGAGACCTGTCGACCCCAGACCTCGCCGACGGGGGCCCAGAGGAGAGGGCCGACTGCGAAGCCTAGCACATACAGCGATAGCCCCAGGGTAGCAACCTGAGTGCTGACGCCGAATCCTTCGATAACTTCGTCGATGGTTCCGCTATACGCAGAAGACGCAAGGGATACGATTAAGGTTGTCGCTGCCGCAGTCAACGTGATGGACAATTTCCTGGCCATGCTGAATAACTGTGGATTGCGCGTGTCGCCAGGGATCCAGGTCACGGCGTAGGGATCCTCCTCTGTACCAGAGCCAGTGAATTCGGAATCGAGAACTTCCTGAGTGACGGCGCCATGATCGACCAAGACGCGCCAATAGGGAATAGTTCGCGGGTAAACCCTGGGCACCTTCTTGCGGGCGGCCTCTTGTGGCATTCTCGTCGCGAAAGTCGAGTGTGTTGCTCGCAATCGCAAGTGCCGGGATGGGATGGGATCGGGGTGGGAAGAGGGTTTGACAGGACTTCGATCGACGATCTCGATCTGCGCCCGAGGGGAAGGGCTAGCCTTGGCCCTGGCCCTGGCTTGCGTGCCTGATAGCGACAATCATAACAAATCTTTTCATCGGACCCTCGGCACGGGTTCGATTGGGTGGGTCTCTCGGTTGCATTCTGTGTTGGTGCTGGATTCCCGATGGGGTTTCATCGGCAATGCCGATTGGGTGTGGATTGCAGTGTAGACTGTAGTTTGTAGATGTTATCTGCGCGGATTTGAGCAATCATGCATAAATTTGTTGATTGTGGCGTATAGTTTGACCTTGCTATTGACTGCTGCATGAATATATACAGAGTACAGAGTAAGACGTGGCGTTCAGCTGATTGAGTTAAGCTTTTGGTTCGCCGTGATTGTGCCTGCACAACAATCAGACCCACTTGTGCACTGGCATAAAAGTTTGAAACTCCGCCTTCCAATGGCAGGCTACTAGTAGCACTAGTTTCCCATTAGAAGATGCTCAATAATGGTGGGCAATATGGGGTTTCAACCCTTTGCAACGCCGCTGTATCTATAGAATTGGGAGAATCTTGGAAATGAAGAAAATGCATTCTGGATTGTTATTTTCTTTTCCCTTCTTTCAAACTTAAAGGTACCTTCCAGCTCTGTATATTCAAATTTGCATACTATATCCAATCTGGTTTCTGGGTTACTTCAACATAACCAAGGTTGCGAATTACAGTCCAACTAGTTCCAGTCCGATCATGATCATAGCAAAGATCACAAGCCTCCGTGGCTGGCATACGAGTCCAGAAAAACCCTTTCACTTCCGCATCTTTCCGAGTCAGGTAGTCGTTTCGCATTGAAACCGAAATGAAATGAGATGGAAGTAGTCTATGGCTCACAAATGCAGCCACCCGAATCACAGTCTGATCATGGACAGACTTCTCATTTTTGCTCAAAAGTACCCATGGATAGGACCGAGCCAATGGACTATCCACATCGAACCATTTGGTTAATTTGGGCTGACTACTCCCTACACTAATCGTACATACGGAGCTGACTGGCCAGTGAATGAGTCTTGTGGCTGAAATCGACAGGTGGGCGATTTGAAAAGATGTTTCAAATTAATTGATTAAGGTCAACTTGTTTCTTCCACATCCAACATATCGATCCCGCGTTCATTGTCAGCGTCAAAATGAGACTTAGTACTCCGCATCCATGACACTGACATGTAGTCTGTCTGCCTGTGTAATTTCGATAATCCTGAGGATTCCCATGGCTACAACCATAGCCTATATAAGTTCCATAGGCTTTTCGAATATAGGAATTGGACAAAATTAATACCGTGGGTCCTACCTAGGTACATAGATTCACAGGTCTAATCCTAAGACTCAAGTTAAGGCGAATCGGAACTCGAACCGCAGTCACCCCACAGCGGCCAAGCTTGTTTTGAATCAACAAAAAAGCGAGTATGCGATGGGTCTATACTGAGCATACGTACACAGGCTATGACCACTGGGCACTAACTTATATTTACATGCAAAAAGTAAATCTGTGATGGCTACTAAGCACTGCTCTTTGAATTCAAAAAGCAGTATTCAAAAAGCATCATGCAATGAGGAATGCTAAAAGGACCAACCCCCCCCCTGGCACATTTTTTCTTGACATATATTTTCCATACAAGGTTTAGATACACCTCCAGCACTTCCGATGTATCCCTGATGGTTAGTGTTGTCCTCCATATTGTCTGATCCAATATATCGTTGCTGGCTAAACTATTTCTCTTCTACAAACTATTTTCTGTTCTTTCCAATCTGTCTAATATAATATTTCTAAGAAATTATGGTATTGTCTAAGATTTCTACAATAATCTAATAGGACAGTAGCTATTAAAGGTAGGGTCTGTTGAACTAAGATAATATGACTAGGCATTAGGAATTATAGGTACATTGAATATCACAGGAGCGTAACTAAAATCTGTATGGAAAATACATACTAATCCAGAGTTGGAAGTTACCATGGTCCAAGTAGGAAAAATGGTGCAGGGGAGGGGTGGTCCTTTTAGCAATCCTCCATGCAATTGGCCGTATCCGAATGCACTGGTAATGAAAGCACTGATCTAGGATCGAGGGCTGCTAAATGGACAATGGGCCCTTCCCAGCCCTGATTAGTATGTAATCTCCCTACTACTTTGGATACACTTAATCTACCTCTAGCGCTGCAAAAGTTTATAGTCCCTTGTTGACCTCTCTAGCCTCCGCCATTCTATGGCAGACTAGTACCTACCTGAGATGGAATAGAGTAGCTAATATATTCTATCCTAGGTAGGTACTAGTCTGATATTAGAAGACATTCGCTAATAGTAGAAAATAGACAGTTAGAAATTTTTGTAGTGCTACTGTAGAGATAGATTGAGTATATCTAAGTTTGTATGGAGATTACATACTAATCTAGATTCAGAAGTGCCCATGGTCCATTTAGCAGCCCTCTTAGGATCGGTCCTACATTATGCGATATGGGAATCCGTTATTGCTTAATAGTCAGATGGCCTTGCCCCAGGTTGATCTCTCTTTGTTTTTATTTTCGTCCTTTTTTATTGTTATTAAACTCTTCTCTATTTTTGGCCCATGTGTGCATCGCCAGTCCTAGAGACTGTGTGGTTTGAAGTCGACCAACCCCATGAAAACTAGAGATTTGATTCTTTCAAAGATGTTTGTTCACTACTAGAGTGAAAACGAGAGTCATTCGTGACACTGGCATGTAATTTGCCAGCATGGGCATCATTTCGATAATCTTGAGACTCGAGATCATCATGTAAATTTGTTTGTGACTCGGACTTCCCCTTATCCCTCATAGGGATATTGTCTTCGTCTATCTGGGAATAGTTTGTATCTGTCGTGAGCCACGGCTTAGAAATATTCCCTCGAGAGATAGCATGCGACCCATGGCGAGGGCCAGAATTTGGAGTCTGATCAGATGGGTTGCTAGGCTTTGCACTGAGTGAAAAGGCGCTCGTCAAGCGACGAGCAAGTCCGGTCTCCATGATCATCTTGGACAAACAGGGAACACTGAAGATGAAGAAACCGCAAGTCATCTCGGCACAGGCCCAAAAGAGGAGAGGGCCGATTAGATACATGCTGTCTGCTTGTTTTGCGAAGGCGACGGTATGGGCTAAGCGGAAAATTGCTGAAATAGACGCCCTAAGAAATCAAAATTAGAAAGCCAAGGTCTTGCGATAATGGTAGTCGAGAACTTACAGGATACCAACACCGAAGATGATAGAAATACCGATCTTCTTCGGCCAGCTCATCTGTAATCTCCAAATAATCCGCTGTGGCAAGATAAACATCGTCACATCGGAGATAACTTGCACGGAGGCAGATGTAAGCATCACATTTGGTAAAGAGTAACATTTGCTGGGAAGGTAGAATTCCCAGATCGCCTGGTGGGGACGACACTGCATATTCAGAAGAATGATGCAAAGTATTCCCCACAGACATTGTAGAACAATCACGGCCCAGCAGCCAGTCCAAAATAGATTTCGAGTTCTGTCAATTGGGACAAAAACTCGACACCAATCCATTAAGATAGCGGTTTTGATCAACGGCAATACTGCCGAATAACAGCAGCCGTAGATGAGAATCAGCTACAATGATCTATTAGCTTCTTGTCAAAAGGTTTCAAGCACCGTCGAATTCGAAGCTCACATAAAGTGGTTGGATGATGTCTTTGTTCTGGAGATTCCAAGTGTGAACATAATAGCCAGGCGTGAATATCAACGAATAGCCAGCGTAGGCAGTTCCCCAGTAAGCGCCCTAGAGGTAATCAGTATATTATAGTAAGATTTCGCCCCACATCAAATAAAAGGTGAACGAACGTAGGCGCATATCATCATAACTGTCGTTGGAACAATGATTAGTCGTGTTCGGGCAAGACACGTTGAGTATAGTATGAAGCTAATCCAAACTCACCTTCCTCCACACGAATCTTTTTATCAATCCACACCCGAGCGAACAAGCGCAGACATACACATGCGGTCGCAACGACCATACAAATAGATGTCACAAACCAAGCCAAACCATTGCTATTTGGCGGGTTTTCGAAATCTGGCGTCACCCCTTCCGGCGCAGCGAGCGCTGGCGCGGCCAACAACTCGGCGAGAGCCTCGGAGGACATGCTCAGCAGATGGCCAGGGCAGTTCACACAGAGCAGCCAGGGGTAGAAGACCACGAAACGAATAACTGATTAGCGGCCTCGAATCTAGCGAGGGGGAGCAAGGATAATGTACTGAGTTTTGCCATCGAAATGATCAGCAGACTGACATGTCTGAAGAATCCTTCTGTGTTTAGCATCGACGCGCCCCAACTGCTTGCGGATTCAGAAACTCGGCGACCCAGGTTACCGGAGTGGCACTACTAGTTTGCGAAGAATTGTACGGCATCGCCTTCAATCTAACTCGTTAGAATGTGCGCCATAAAATTTCCAGTCTGAAGGATCGCGGCCAAGACTCGTGTGGTGTGGACCTGTCGACCGCTACTTATCCAGTGATGTCGCAAGGGGCGTTCCGACAAACTTCACGGTAAGTGGATATCTGCCATCTTTTTCTGACGGCAGCGGGAAGTTAATCAGTCTAGTCCATATTTTGATCAAGATGGACATCGAGGCCATTATATCAGACGCTAGCCGCCTCACCTGAGCACAGGGCCGGGCCAGGTATGTATTCAAGACCCAGCAACTTTGGTCTCCATCCATGGCTCCAATCATGGTCTCGAATGCACAGATCGGCGGCAGCCTCGAGAGATGAGGGTGCGTGAGATTCAGCGGTCGTTCTCCGGGACCCCACCATAAGACAGGTCGACTTTTTGGGCATCCCCACCAACGGGCAGATTGATTTGTCCAACTGAGACAATGAGCCGTCAAACTTTCGAGGCTCAGAAATGGCCCGGACCACAATACCATTATGCTAGCATGGAATAGACATTGGACACATCTGTGAACCAGAGAATCCACGCGTGCTCGTACATACAGGTGTCAGACATCTCATGGTTGTCCTGCGGGAAAGACCCCAACGGTGATCTTTACTGGGCCGTGTCAATTATCCACTTTTCCCGCTTCGTTGAAATCCTGCGGTCGCACCAAGCATACCCCCTAAGCTTGGCTTGCTCGTTCTTTTGCTGACTAGTCTTTGTACGAGGGAGGCTTCGTGACCTGAGGGGTGAAGCGGGGAAGTGTGCGAGTGCAATAGAACCTACTCCGTAGTTTCTTTCTTAATGTATCCCATACCGCAAGACTTCTGAAACAGTTCTTAGAGATCTACTGCCCATCATGACTGTCAGTGAGTAGTGCACGGAGTCACAATTTTTTGAGATGATTTCAACATTGACACCTATATCCAGATGGAGAGACGGAGTACCCGCCGCAGGCGGACCTTCGGACGATGATGAATGAACAACCAGTCCCCTTACTTGCTCCGGGGCTGGTAGACCCGGCTTCCATGGCTGGAAAACAAGCAACTATTAAGGCGAATGCCTTATTGGATCGCTTCAATGTTGCTCTGGCGAATCGCGATGCAGATAAGCTGGCTGGTTGCTTCTACACGAGCCAGGCGTATTGGAAAGACATCTTGGCTTTGACATATCACTTGCGTACTTTCAGCACCCCGGGGGTCATAGCCGCGGCGCTACTCAAGACCAATAAATTACGACAGATCGAGAATGGCATTTCGATCGACGGTGCGGCGATTTTCCTTCCCGCTACACCAGTCCTTGTAAGTGCAATGGCACACGCGTATAGGGATTCAAGAATGATAGGTCTGATCTAGACCAATAGCAATTTATCGATTGTCCAATTGTCTTTCGAACACAATCGCCTGCCGCAACATGTCGCGGAAAAATGATGTTGTTGCCGGTGGAAGTCGAATCGGAAGTTGGTAAGCTAGAGATTGATTGGAAGATCTGGATTTTGAGTACCAAACTCGAGAGCTTGGATATTCAGGCAGAGGATGAATCATTGCTCCAGGCACCTGGAAAGGATATCGGTGTTTCGGAGAGCCTCGAAACAGAAGTATTCATCATCGGTGGCGGCAATGCGTACGTGAACACTCAGAAGTCTGCTTGATCTGAAGCTTGATGTTAATATTGCTTAGGGCTGTTACGCTCTCTGCGCGTCTGAAGGCTCTAGGAGTCGAAAGTGTCATGGCCGAACGCACTCAGGAAGTTGGCGATAACTGGGCCCTGCGCTATGACTGCCTGAAGTTTCACATCCCAACGACTGTCTGTGAAATGCCATTTTTGTGTAAAGTCTTGTGTTCTTGAGGTTTCCAGAAGTTCACGACTAATATTGGCAATTAGGCTATGACAAGGAGCTCCGCGCTCCCCATTTGCTGTCAAAGGATGAGCTTGCGTCGCAAGTCCGACGCTATGTCGAGACGTTCAACCTGAATATCATCACATCGGCGAAAATAAAGTCCACTCAATACGATATGTCGACTGAGCGCTGGGAGATTGAGATTGATACTCCTGCGGGAAAGCGAAAGGTTTCTTCCAAGCAGCTTGTTCTGGCAACAGGCTTCGGATCACAAAAGCCCAATATGCCGTATATTCCTGGAAGGGAACTTTATAGGGGCACGAGTATTCACTCCGCCCAATTTAAGAGTGGAATGGACTTAAAAGAAAGGGGTATCAAGGTGAGCCCACATTGACGAGACACAAGAGAAGTGATTCCATGAAATAAAACTGATGTTGCAAAAATTTCAGTCTGTTGTTGTCATCGGATCTGCGAACACGGCCTTTGACGTTTTAGAGGATTGCCATGTAGCAGGTCTCCAGTCAACGATGAACGTTCGATCGCCAACTTATATGGTTCCGTTAGAATATGTTTGCGACAAGATGAGTCTCGGCGCTTATGACGCTGGCGTGGAAGCATCGGACAATCGTTTCCTGCTGCTCCCCACGGTTGTGGACGGACAGCTTGCCCGCAACCTTTTCAGATTCTTCGCATCCCAAGAGCCCAATCGATATGAAGAATTGAAGGCAGCTGGCTTCCCGGCCCTTGACAGCAGTGATCCGAGTCAAGCGCTTATGTATAACCTTCTCGAGCGAGCTGGTGGACACTATGTAGATGTTGGTGGCACCAAGCTGATCGAGGACGGGAAGGTCGCGGTAAAAGCTAATGTTGAGCCTGTCGCGTACACATCGACTGGCCTCCAGTTCTCTGACGGGAGTGTTATCGAGTCTGATGCGATCGTGTGGTGTACTGGATTCGCGGATGGGAATCTGCTTCAGACAGGCGCGGAGATCTTGGGTGCTGGGGCTTCAAAGGTCGAAGGTAAGAAGATACTTGGAGCAGAAGAGATTGTCGCACGTCTTGAAGTGACATGGGGAGTCGATGCTGAGGGTGAAATCCGGGGGATGTGGAAGCGTAACCCGCGCCTGGACAATTTTTGGGTGATGGGCGGCTACACTCAGTTGCAACGTTGGCACTCGCAAACTTTGGCCATCCAAATCAAGGCGACCCTGGAAGATATCTTGCCACCTGCATATCTGGAAACACCCCAGGTTTCAGGCTTAGAAAAGGAGTAAAGCCAGCTAAGCCCATCTCACGAATTCGAATTTGGTTGGTAGTAGTCGGGAAGATAGAGGAACGCAACCTGAAGGTTTGACTCGGGAGGCTCTATAGGAGCTTCACGCTAGGTTTTCTTGGAGTATATTTCTCATTCCTTCCATGGATTTGAATTGGCATAAGATTGTTTTCGAGATTTTTTCCCTATAGTATTTGATCGCTGGTGGCGGTTTTCTCACCATTGATTCCCCTTCGAAAGGAAAAACTGCTGAAGGCACTTCGTCTTCGAAGCGAACTTATTCGTCTTCCTTCGATTATAGACCCAAGATTATCCTTATCATTTGACGTTGATGTAACCGTACTTTTGGGCTCTTTTGACTTTTGATAGATCCACCAACAGATCATGACCGCTAAGGTCAAAGGCACTGTAATCGTTAACCAGATAAGCCATGCCTTGTCATTGACAGAAGCCCCAAATATTTCGGCATCAACTACGGTCGCAACAAAGGTTCCCGGTAGAAATGCCATGGTCAGAACAGCAATTGAAGTCATTGATGTTGAGTCTTCTTTCATGCTGCGCGCAATCTGGATGTTGTTGGCCGCGTCTTGTTGCGTTACAAGACTGTAGACCAAGGAGCTGATACTGTCCTTCCGTTGCTTGTAATTAAGAAACCACGTTTTCTGCTTTTCCATCGAAGAGATGACATATATGGAGTCTTGAACACGTTGCTGTATGAAGGGTCTGGAGTTGGGGAGCCAAGAGCTGAGGCGTGAATGTGCTTCTCGGATCGCAGATGCTGTGAAAATAGCAACATCGGCATTTGCAATATGAGAGTCTGCATTTTGGGAGACTATTTGGAGCTGTTTGGTTAGATCTCCAAGTTTGGCCCGGTCGCTAGCCTCAAGACCAGCAAGGTGATCATTGACCTTGTTGATCTGAGTCCACATGAAGCGTCGGAAACGTGCGACGTGATGCTTAGAAGCCTCCAGTGATAACGTGGAGAGGATAACGTGAATGTCAAAGGGGTCGTCCATGAAAACAGCTCCCCTGCTTGACGCCGAGGCAGTATCAATTGCAATGTTAAGAATCGATTTGAGCGTATTCACAGATGTGTCAGATTCATTGTGGGATATGATGTATGTTGTTAAGCTGCGAGTGAGATCATGGCGTGAATATACCGATAAAGGAGATCCTTGAACATGAAGATTCCATCGTGGGTGTTGACAAAACAAATCTATATTTTTCAACTGAAATTCGTCCGGAATTTGCGTCTCATGATAGTCACATACCACATGCTGTCAACTTTCCATCATTGTCGGCCTCCCAATGTGACTTGGGTGCCCAGTAGTCCGGTTGACCGAGAAGGTTTAGGGAAAAGAGCGGATTAATTTGCAGGGTCCTGATAAGTAGTTGTGTATTCTCTTGTGTCATCAGAGCCCGTACACCGAAGGAGGTCTTTTCACTGGGCACCAATGGTACGAAACTAAGCAGGTTAGTAAAAGAATCAAGATTTCGAGTTCGGATGCCCTCACATCACAAGAAGTCTGCGTATTGATGGAGTATGATCAGGCAGATTCGCTTTCCGACTCGTGTCGAAGTCCTACTAGCAAGAATCGTATGTGAGATATTGTCCTTCGGAGTAGATTTGATTTGGTGAGGTCCCAATATCACCTGCAAAAAGTCACCCATTCCCTGCGCAGTCAATGTTCGCCATTCTGCATAATATGAGTATGTTTTTGAGTTCAAAGATTATGAAATTGATCTCACCTGCTCTCTGCAAGTCCACGTGCAAGCACTCAACATTGGTTTCAAGAGAGAAATTTTCCGTTTTTCGCAAATGCTGATGACATTGCACAGCATCAAAAACTTGTTGAAGAGATCCGAGATTATCAAGCGGATAGTTCTTTAGGCCAATATCGAAGTCAAACTCTAATTCGTTGACTTTCAGATCGGTTTGTTGGGCATGGCGATCGATATCGTTTTGTGCTCTTGAATTAGGACGTTGCTCAACCTTGGTCTCAACAAGCGAAGCCTCCAGCTTTGAGAATTTGCCCAGATCCCCAGTCTCGGCTCGACTAAGTGGGTCTCTAAGTTCTGTCATTGAGCTTGCTTTAACGCCTCTCGGTGTGATACCAGCAGCCAGCTACACTCAAATATTGGGTATTTTCAGAGGTGGAGAGAAAGGAGAAAATATAATTATGAGAGAAGCGGCGTACAGGAGGGGTTCCGGGCTTATTGCCAAGGGAGATAGTATCATGAGGAGACGAAAGTGCGATTGGATGTCGTCTGACAACGCGAAGGCATTTTTAGGCATAGCTTGATGGCTTTCTCCCGCAATCTTCTCGGGTGACAGGAACAATGCACCGGTCGCTCCTCAAAAATTCTTCATCTATCGACAACGGTGAAGAGATATTTTATTTTCAAGCCATTAACTTTCAATGTCAGTCAATTGTTTGTTTCTACGATCGCTGGGATATCCACCAAGATTGTAAATTTTCAAGTATTCCACATCAAATATTTCACTGAATCATGAATCCAAGGTTGTGTGGCAAGGAAGTCGGCATACATGACAGTTATGGCTTAGATTTGCAGCAAGATAAGCACTAGTGAAGGAAAGAAGAACCTGAAGCCAACCACGGCCAACTAACCAGGAGTCAGGACCCATCAAGGCACAGGTGTATTTCCCGATGATATGCACTAAGTGTATTCAGGTCGAGATTCCCAGCTGGGAGTAGGTGTTACTAGGCCTTTTGAACGAGACTTGTGCTCTATTAGAACCACTCTTGTCTGACTCTGACAATCCATGAATATTGCACTCAAAATCCCACGGGCCATGTCTGTCCTGATCGATTCTTCGAACGTGGAAGTGGAAGTGGAAGTGGGGGCCCCAGCCGAGGGGTCGCCGTCCTTTCCGCCCACCGCTTGTTTCTGGCCTTTTAGCCTCAGCCTCAGCCCCATCGCAAACAAGACCTTACTCTTTGGACTTCAAGATGCCACTCGATATAAGTTATGATGAAATTTGCTCCAAATTCGATCGGCTTGTTTCGAATGGCATCATTCAGTACCAACCTAGCCACCCCGTCATCGTTACTGACAACGGCATGACTGTTTGTTCTCATCGCTACCGCCAGCTCCGAATCGTCGCTTTCGACGCTAATGTGGATATAGTTTTGTTTCAATGTGGTTGAGGCATTGAAGGAAAAGCCACAGGCCGGCGAGGCCTTCAAGAGCGCCCAGTCGAACCTCGGCGACGGCACCGATGCACAGCCCGAAACGTTCGGCCCCGGAAGTGATTTAGCATTCGATCATCCAGATATCTGCATCACCAGAGTCAATGAAACTCACTTCCTCGTGATCAACAAATTCCCGGTTTTCCGACCTATGCTACTCCTATTGACGATTGATTCATATCGCCGACAGCATGAATTACTCGACGTCGAGGATATGGAGGCCGCATGGAGCCTTGTGTGTGGACTTGAAGTGGAGCATTTTGCTTTTTTCAACTGCACAGTCACGGCGGGATCTAGTAGAGCTCATAAGCATCTGCAAGTCATTCCAGCCCCAGGTGCCAATGATGGATATGCAGACGGTTTCAGATTCTTTCCGGACTACGACCCCGAATCCCAGACAGGTACGCCGTCTTGCGTATACTTCTTGGAGATATTCAAAGAGCCACCGGAGGGTCTAGTGAAGACTAGCCAGCAACTCATGGAAATATATCTACGGTTGTTGCAGCAAACACGAGAAGCGTTGAAACTCAACGAGGGCCCGTGTCCGCATAATTGGATTCTCACAAAACGATGGATGGTGATTATTCCTCGACAGAATAAGGAGTATAGGGGACTTAGTGCGAATTCACCGGGTATGGTTGGATCGGTTTACATCGCAAATCAGAGTCAATTTGATGCATGGAAGGAGGCTGGACCTCAAAGGGTTCTAGCGGGATTAGGCCTTCCCCGAGTGGAGGCTTGAAAGCCGGAGGGTCTTTCGATATTATGATAGAAGGGAAAATACCGATAAAGTTATTTAATTTGGATGAAATAAAATTATAGATTACAACTAGGTTATTAAATACGATCCGGTCTTCCTGAGTCACCCATGCAAGGGCTCTAATATATGCCACCTTCGAAGAATACGGCGCTCCATAAGCGCAGGGTGGTCAGTACCCTAGTTGCATATCAGGGTATTTAGGCCGGTAGAAAATGGTTGGTATAGTATAGTGGCACAGCAAAAGTTTCCAACAGCTTTTTTGCCTTCCTGGTCTCCGTCTTCCCAATGGCGGACTACTAGCTATCTAAAATGGATTGGGGTTGCCAATTTATTCTATCCCGGGTAGCTACTAGTCTGCAATTAGAAGGGGGTCAATAATGGCGAGCAATAGGGATCAGGTAAAATACCACGATGTACAACTACTGACCACTCTGCGCTTCTCGAGCGCCGTAGAAGAAGGGCAATCGATCGGCTCTAAGCTTTACATGTAGGGGAAATTCGGACACAGAGTGGCTGAAGAGTATTATGGCGTGAAAGCTCTTATTTATTCTTCAAAGGACATCGACTCTGTGATCATGAGCACCGAAACCGAAAAAAAGCTTACGAGGCTTGAAAGATGTCGAGAACTTAAAGCCAAGTATGGTACTTAAAGCTGGTCTAAAAAATATAATACAAGACCATAAGAACATGCAGAATGAATGGCCAGTAAAGACGTTTATACGTGAATCGCCCGGGCTTACACCCAACTCCCTAGATGATATTCTTAGATATAATTCTTTCAATCCGAACGCAATGAGATAAACCTTGGAAGAACTGAGATGTAAAATGTTCAAGTTCAAGTTCAAGTTCAAGTTCAAGCTCAAGCTCAAGTTAGCAAGTTAGAAGTTCAACTCCAGCACTTTGACGCCGGGTAGCCAAAAGGTAAACTTGAAAGGGAAAACACTTCAAAAGCCCTGCCAACATCATAAGGGATTTAAAAAATGATAAAAGGGAACTGAGGAAAGGGGGAAGAGGGAAGGGGGGTAGGGATAGAACAAAGGCCGTATCAAGTCATAACAGACGGCAAAGAGAGATAAACGCCAACACCTCCTGGCCTTGTGGCCAACCATTTATGAAAAAGATCCAGACAATGATGAAAAAATAGAATTGGCCAGATCCAAAAGCGCCACTCGAATGAATCGATCTGAGGGAATCGTAAAAGCTCCAGGAATGGCCGGCGAACTAGGAAATTCATTGCTTGTCGTTGCTGTGATATTTTTCCATATGATCCTTCCACCTATGGGCTCTCTTGAATGGCTTGACGCACTCGTAGCACTGATATTGCCCTGACTTGACATGCTGCTCTCTTACGTGTCTCACGAGACTTTCATGAGATTGGAAACCATCAAGGCGACGGCATTCAGCCCATTTGCACTTCAACGAGAGGTCATTGGGTTGACGTCCACTAGTTATGGCGACAAAGTTAGATACAATAAAAAGACTAAGCAAATATTTGGAGTTTGAATGTCGGGGTCCTACCTAGATTCTTGCACCTGGTTATGATGACGACGGTAGTTGTGTCCAACTGGATTGGCCGGCGATGTGGGCGGGCGAGTAGATGGACCGGGGGTGGTGCCGAAGAGGTTGCCCCTTCAGGGCTAGTCATTGTATAGTACCGGTAGGCAGATAATCCAGGGTCTGTAGGGGTGCCCAATCCAAGAGAAGAATAGAGTATCGGGGTTTGGCTATTTCTTTGGGGGCTGGCGCCGGAATTAAAAGAAAACTCTGCGGCGGATAGAGGACTATCCATTGGCAGTGGAGCGGGAGTCGTTGTCAAGACGCTTTGGGCCACGCGATACAATGGAACGGCATTAAACGGGACGTGGTTTTGATTGAACCACACGTTACACCCCTGGATATTTGGATCATCACTTTGTACAAATATCGAGTAGACGCGCTGATAGACACTTTCTTCGGCCTGACTTGACATGATGGGTAGGTTGGAAGAGGTGATGCGGAGTACTAATGGGAAGATAAGTAAGTATCAAAGGCTAACTAAAAGTTCCAATGCATGGGTAGTACCTATGTAATAAAGAGCTCGGTGCTTTTGTGAAACAAACTCGTCCGCCAATTGTCCGGGGACTGGTTAATATATGCCTTGGTCAAAAGTCAAAAGACCTCCGGGGGGGGGGTTGAGAACTTGAGATGCCCAGATGCTAAGCCCCTGGGTATAAACCCGGAGAGGCTTGTGGTAGAGCCAAGGGTTCCAAATGACCCGCATGGTCGCCCGGGCGTAGAAGGTGAATGGAAGGACAACCTCGAGTTCTAGTTCGTGTTGACCGCATTGCCTGCTAGGCATCGATCTCCAGGCACCTCTTCCATACCTGAACTGGCCTGGGTCTCTCAATGTCGTTTTCTATGTGACAGGCTCCTTGCTCAGTCAGATTAATTGAGACCGACCACGAGGAATTTCAACAGGTGTCTTTCCTTCTCGGACAGATATGCTGCGAATGAGCAGACATAACCTTCGGGGGTTCCATCACGGGTTAGAGGTGAATTTCCTCTGGGTGCTTGACCCCGAAGCCCACTGGGTCAAGGGTGAAAATGGGTTGTTCTGGAGAGAATTTGCCTCGACAAACTGTCCCATCCGTCGCCAATATGAATAAAAGTCCATTCTTTCGGCGGGGTTGGGGATTGAGGGTTAGGAGAGGGTATTGGGTAGCAATGCTTCTGCAAATCATAACATCACAATGGCCTGTATTGCTACTGATTAACTCCACTGACATCATAATCAATGCATCATAATTGTACGGGTTTGGATCAATCTCCCAGCCACAGCCACCTTCGTGATTGGTGACATGTCAAGGGTTCGTTTGCCCGGTCCACCCAACCTCATCTCATTTCAATCTACACGACGAAAAGGGGATAGTCTTCCTCCAGTTGGTCCAATGAAATGATCAAAGTGCCTGGCAAACCAGTAGGCTTTGGTTCCCTTTCTCGTTATTGGTTTGTATCTTCGATCAGTTACAATCCCGTAGCCCTGATTTTCTCATAAAGATGGGCCAAAACCCACAGTGGGCGCAGACCGCATTATGTTCTCAGCAAACAAAGCCTTACTGCGCCCAAAGCCCGACGCCTCATTTTCGTGTGGCTGTGCTACAACGATCTGCCAGTGTATTCCTTTTTGAGGAGATGGGGTTCTCCCTTCTTCTATCTGGTTATTCCATGTCTTCTGGCTACTTGAAAAGCTAGCCAGGACAACGTCATTACGTCATTAGGCCCCCAAGCATGAGCGTCTGGACTCATGCAGATTTGAAGCGGGATTTGCACCTCCAATCCTAGCCCGAATTCCAATACCGATCGTGACTACCTTGATAGGCATCTCATCGGGGGTTAAGACTTGCTTCTATTGTACAGAGTACAAGGTATGCCGAGTGGATCGTTTCAAGCTTTACTTCCCGCTCCGAACCAGGGGCCGAACCGCCCGCATGGAAGGCGGGCCGTAAATGGAACCATACTACATACTAGTAGTAGTATCCCAATTGGCCCACTTTCCGTCCTAAGTTAGCGCCTGTTTAAACTGCGATTCGGAAAATTAACGTCTTCCCGTTTGAAGTGGCCTTTTTACTGATGGATGAGCATTGTCAACTCTTGGGAACTCCACACAAAAGGTTGTGGCGTAAACTCTTCTGCAGAACCTATGCTTTCTATCAGAAAGAAGACCCTTCCTGGAAAGATGCAACAGCACATGGAGATTGATGAAACGGTGATAATAATTATGAGCAAGACAATCTAACAGCAGGCGCCGAAAATAGAATCACTTCAAAAAAAAAAAGTTAACGAGGGGCAATAACTGAGACCAAACCAAGGATAACAAAGGAAAGAAAAGATCCAAAGGAACAAAAGCAATCATTCGGCTTTAGAATGGATAAAAGCGGTTGTCTTTTCCGTCCCTAGCTAGCCTTGAATGGGCAACCTTCATGTGAACTTTTAATTTATCGCCTCGACCAAGACCAAAGGTCTTTCCACATTCAGTGCAATTATACTCGTTGGGGGAGATATGTGTGGATTGTATGTGGCGCCACAGGGTCGGGAGCTTGGTGAAGTTTCCGCGATATGGACAGCCTTCCCATTTACACTGGAACAGGCGAGGCTGATCAAGTTGGGGATCACTAGGGGGAGTTAGCTGGAGCCGTGTAACCCTGGAGGGGGCAGCGCCAAATCTCACATATAACCTGATCCAGGTTGGTAGGAATCACCACACTGATAGGAGTGGCTTGGATTTGAAACCAGTGTTGACGGAGGCGTGCGTGAGAGAATCCCTGTCGAGTATCCAATACCAGCACTAGGCCGAAGGTAGGGTGGATTTTCGTGAGAAGCGTTCATTTGTGGGACGGTAGTAGGCAGTAGGGACTTGCGATGCCCTGATTGACGACTCGTAGTGTGATTGTTGTTATTGATTCTCCGTATGGTAGCGTTGGTATTGCGGCAGGTGCACGCCAGGGATACCTCGTTCATCCCACCAGTAGGCAAAGAATGCCCTTGGAAACCCCCATCGAAATGATCGGTAAGGTACTGATTCTTTGAAGGAGGTTGGACTTCATGGTGAGTGGGGTCTTCGAAGGATACTAGCAGATGATCTGGATCTGGATCTAGATCGAGATCGAGATCGAGATCGCTGCTTGCCCCGAGGTCCACTGGCAGTCCCACTGAGTACGAGGTGAAAGATGACGCCATGTCAGGTACGGTGTTCAAGTGCCAGAGTAATATGCACAGAATGCGAGTGAAATAGCTAGCAATTATTGATTGTCTTTCAAAGGGAAGAAAGTTGAGACTAAGCCCCAGTGATTGAATAGAATGAACTATGAATTGGGCCCAAGGGCTTTATATACTCATACCTAGGTACTACGAGTAGTAACTGATTCTGTCGTCGGAACTCGCCCTTGACTGGCGAGTTTGCCGTAACAGTAACCTACCTTAGCTCGCGGCGTAGCAAAAAAGCAAAAGTGTGGAGACCACTAAAATGGGTCCTGACAAGAATCAGACCAAATCCCGTCTCGTGGTGTGCAGTCCGAGAACAAAAAATGAAATTGGGTCCGTGCAAGGAAGACTCTGAATCGCGTGTTGTGTTGTGAGTGGTTGCCTACTACCCAGAATTCACCTAGGCTACTGCAGCTTCCGCTCCATATCATGCGCCAGACCGCCGATCCTAGTCGATAACTGAACACTGGATTACTAGTACCCGATTCATTCTATTTGATGATAGACCATTCTTCAACTTCATTTCTTTCTACCTACCCTGTCTCTCCTTTGTTCTCGCTATGGGTCAGGCGTGAAATTTGGACGGGGAATGCGCGCAAAGCCATTGCGATCTATAGTTTAGGCTGCATCAAGTTCAAGATAAAACCCTAAATTGAATAGAAATAGAATGGAATATCTCACAGAGCATGCCAGCAGTGTGCAACTTGAAAGTCGTTAGGCGGGGCTAATTATTTTCCGGGAAAAGGATTGAAAGTGGAATATTAAAGAGAATGGCACATTACTACAGAGCTGAAAGGGACCTCGGGAGAGGCGCCCAGGTGGATAAGCGGGGAACTTCAAGTTTTGAAAAGAAATGTCCCGTGCCATGTTTAACATTTTATGTTGAATGAAAGCCATTAAGAAAATAATTTGTTCTCGACTCGTAAAAGGTATTTGCTATGGATAGGTCCAGTAAACCGTAGCCCTCTGTGAAAACTTCTTGGTAAACGCCAGGCCTTAAGAAAAGGTGGATTGTGTACTACTAGATATTATAAGGCTCAGCATCCTCCCCAAAGATCAAATGCGGTCGCTCAGCAGCGACCTTCAGAAGCGTCTGGGCGAAAACCGAGTTAGCCCAGGAGAACCATGGGCGGGTATACGTCTTGATGTTGGTGACGTTGATCGACTCGTGCACGAGGCCAAGGAGACTCGAGTCACGGACGAGGTTGATGGACTCCATGATCTCGGTATCGTTGTCGGAGGTCTGAGCTTGCATGAGCAGAGACATGGGCCAGGCGTTCTCGAGACCAACTGCGATCAATGAATTAGCTAGCAACTTGAGGAGTAGGGTGCTGTGTCGTGAAAGCTTACTGTGGGGACCACCAATGCCGTGGAAAGCAGGACCTTCCAGGTAGTAAGGGTTACCGGCCTTGTCAGTGATCATCTTGCGAGTATTCTGGTAGACCTTGTCGCTCTTGTCGACGAAGCCGAGATAAGGCAGAGACAACAGGGAAGGAATGTTGGCGTCATCCATGAGAATACGCGAGCCATAGCCATCGACCTCAAAAGCATATACATCACCGTACTTGCCGTGGCTCACAATTCCGTGTTCCTTAACGGCCTCAGCAAGCTTATTGCCGCGCTGCTCCAACTCATCGGCCAGGTCATCATGACCTCCGGCCTTCTTAACAATCTTAGAGATCTTTTGCAGCTGAACAGACATCATGGCATTGGGCGGAATGAAATAGCCCAGGATAGTGGCGTCGTCACTTGGGCGGAATGCACTTCGGATAAGGCCAGTTCCATCGTTGAGGGGGTTGCCAACACCTTGCAGGTTGAGGGTCTCGGTTCCAATGTTTGTCTCGCGCTGGAAGGTATATTGGTTGGAGACAAACTGGTTCTTGGAGTTGAAAGTAGGCTTTGACTGCTCATCGATGACACGAAGAACGGTCTTGAGCGCCATGAACCAGCGATCGGTCAGGAACTCGGTAGAACCGGTATTCTCATGGAACTCGGTTCCCAGCAGCAAGAAGTGAGCGAGGGAGTCGAGCTCATATTTGCACTCGAATACAAAATTCTTGGAGTATGTGGGGTGTACAGTATCCTGCTGGGTGCTGTTCTCGGGCTTCACGCCGCTAATAGAGGGCGGCTGGAAGGCATTGCAGTAAGGCGATTGAATGACAAACTCAGCCTGAGTGTTGATAGCACCGAGAATCAGAGTGTAGAGACTCTTGTCATCGCTGGCCAGCTTCTGGTAGTTGGTCAGTTGATTGGTGGAATCACGCAACCACTCCGCATTGATATCGCCTGTCACAATAAACGTCTGTACACCGCTCCAGTCCGCACCATCGCGCCTGACGCGACGCTTCGAAGTTGCTGAGCTGGATCCATTGACATGCCATTTGATTGTGGTATCGAGGGTATTCGGAAAGGCGTTCCGGAAAAGTTGCGCAAGGTCTTTGTCGACCAGGCGCGAGGTCATATCATCAATAACCTTCTCGACGGAGGGGGAGCTGAATGTACGACATGCCTCAGCGGGTCGCTGGAAAGGCAATTTCAAAGGACCGTCGCTATAAGGGCCACTGTGAGAGGTTAGTCTGACTATTTGCGATCTTAGCTATAAGTGGGGTACATACTGCGGCGTCGAAGCGTACGAGGTGTAGTCGGGGCATGCTCGTTTAAGGATCGCAGGATTGTCACGTCCAGGAATCGCACTAGCTTGAGAGGCCAGGAGCGCACCAACAAGCAACGTAGAGAGGGTCATGACAGGCGAGGTGAGATGAATGAACAAAGCCCGACAAGGCGGGATTGGGGGTTGGGGGTAAATAAGAGGGGAGACATAGCTTGGTGTCGATCACAACCAGGCTGGGTCACGCATTCCTCCACTTCATTTCGTTTCGATTGCCGAGCCCAGGGTAGCTGCAGTACATACGCTCGATCCCGCATTGCTCTTTCGATGTTATTGATCTCGGGGAAATTGTGGGCGCGAGGTGACATCGTCCAGGGGACGAGAGGGACGGTTGCACCACGTCCCCACAAATGCGGAGAAGCGATCGGCGGTGTTTTGATTGAATCTACAAAATACACCATACAAGAGTACAAGAGTACTTAGTTACTACGACCACAACTATGTAGACTCCGTGCCAACTTCATCACCGGGTCAATGCTGAGCGAACTTCCATTCGTGGCTAACTTCCTATACTCCGTGCCTATGCGATCGATTACTTTTTTCCGAAGAACGACATGATGTTCCCCTGTCCAGCCTTCGGGCCTTTGCCCTTGGGTACGTTGACAGCCGGCTTCTTCTTAGGCGGTGCTGGCTCATCTTCGGAGAATGACTCCCATGAAGGTTCCTCTCGGGTGACTGTGCAAAGGTAAGGATGGTGGCTGGACCAGGGCTTAGATGATGATATTTGTACTTACCAAGGTACCCCTCTTCATCCTTCACCGTCCGCTTCTTCATGACTTGTCGCTTTCCACGGCGGCGCCCACCTTGTACGGTGACTTCTTCCTTGAGCTCGGCGGGTTTGGGGGGGGGGGGTTGCTCGACAGGTGTCGGTTCTCGTTCAGGCTCCTCGTCGGCATCCGGCATTTCTTCATCTATATTTCTATGAGTAATTTGTGACTGGCCTCACAGAAGCTCGGCAACATACCATCGGTATCCTCATCCTCCATCATCTGCTTGAGCTTATCCTCGCGGTCCTTCTTGCTCTCGCGGTTAGCAGGTGCCGACTTATCGCCGGACTCTGGGAAAAGCTCCTCCTGTTCTTCCTCGGAGGCATCATCCAATACAACTGTGATATGTGAGCTAGCGTACGATTCGTAGTCGCGGTAGAACTGACCATCCTGGCTTGGATCCGTCTAGATTAAAGCAAAAGTTAACAGGAGAAAAACAATTCGATGGGGCTGAGAGGGATACTAACTGATTGTGCGGGAGTCGATGTTTTTTGTTTAGGTTTAGCCTTAGCGAACGAACTGAAAAGATTACTCTTCTCGCGCTTAGGCGCCGTCTTTGCAGCAGGTTTCGATGATGATTGAGATTCGCTTTCGGAAGTTGGCTGGGGCGTTGACTCTTCCTTCTGTAAGGGCCGCTTTGTTGGGACTGCCGGTTCAGCCTTAGCTTTTGGGGCCATCGGTTCGGACTTGGACTTCGCGGCTGGGGGAGGAGGGCGCGCTCCAGTCCGTCGCTACACCAGTAATCATTAACATGGCGTCCATGAAGTCTTTGAAAGATTCTTTGAAGCTCAGACGGACCTTAACATTGCGATTCTGAATCATGCCCCATTGTCCACCACATTCCAAAGGATCGTCCTGCGCATGTGCCGTCGCAATTTCCCGGCACACATCTGTCAATGTATTGAGATCTTGAAGTACAGTAGGTTGAAGGCTGTACACATGGATTGTCGAGATGGAGTGGAAGGTTGATTTCGCGTCTGCGTACAGTTCCAAGTGTCAACACAAGAGTTCCTCGGCCATCAGCGGTGATTGTGGTGCCCAACGTACCCTCCAAATCTTCCTCCCGGGCAATGATAATGGACATCACACGCGGCGACTCAAAGGAGGCGTCTTGATTCGGCATCGAGCTGGGCAGATAGGGACTGCTCTGCATGACCTCGTCCTCATCCTTCGCATGGCCATTCGTTACGGGGGTCTCTGCTGCCGGTGGCTTCTGGAATCCGGATATGACGTATGTTGCGTGGACACTTTGGGGTTTCTTTGCATTTTCATTGCGATGGAAGTCATAGAGCATTCTAGATCCGAAAAATCAGCTTGGGTTTTCTTTCATCAAGCGGACAAAAGCGAGGGCAGTACTGTTTGGCCTTGGTGGCGTGAACTTTCAAGGCGCGGCTCAGAGCGCGGTAAGTGACCTGAAGACAATGAGCAGTGGACTATAAGAACTTTCCAAAGCTGCAACCATACCGTGCGCCTCTCATTGAGGACATTCTCTGCGAGATACATTTTGTAGTCCATGGTGCTTTGAAGCTCGGAAGCTCTCTAAGTTGCGTTGCTTGACGCGTGCCCACCACTTTACGCGTATCAGTCAGCGGGTCTTGGCGCGCCCACTCCGCCTTGCGAGACGCATCGTTCACTTCGCGACATTTGATATTGATATCTTGCAGACCGGCGCTATTGGACTGTCCGGTAGGCAGGCCCCTGATATTCCCTAGATGGACTCCTTTGATGTGCCCGATTCTACGGACTGGCTAGAGACCCCGCTTTCCCTTCTCGCACCTCTCGAGTCCTCACTGCGATGTCAAGTCTGCAAGGACTTCTTTAACAACCCGGTTATCACTTCCTGCTCGCACACCTTCTGCTCACTTTGCATTCGTCGATGTCTCAGCACTGAAGGGAAGTGTCCAGTTTGTCGGAGCTCGGATCAGGAATTGAAGCTGCGTCGCAACTGGGCGGTTCAAGAGTTCGTCGAGACCTTTCAAAATGCACGACAAAGTGTCCTTGACCTCGCAAGAAAGGAAGCAGCGCGTCTAAAGGACGGGGACTCTACGATACGTGAACCTTCACCCAAAAAGAGAAAGGTCGATCGCGTGGATGTGAGGGAGGAGGTCACAGTGGTGCAAGCCAGCCCACGTCGCGCCCGGACAAGGTCACAACGGATCAAGAACGATGCACCAAACACTGAGCCAGTGCCGGTGGCTCAGGAGACAATCGAAGTGATTGAAGATAGTCAAGACGAAGGAGAGGAAGAATACGTTCCTGGTTCGTTCCCTTTTCCTCGCGCATTTGAACCAATCTCACATTGCTGCAGATGACGGTATGGTCGCGTGTCCGATCTGCCAGCGCAAGATGAAAGCCCACGCAGTATTCTCTCACCTCGATACCTGTCAAGGAATAACACCTGCGCCTCCACCACCGTCCAAACCTTCCGCTTTCAGGTATGTATCGAGTATCGGCTTGCGCCCAGGTATTGACGCTAATTGAGTATTGAGTGTCGCGCATAGCTCCCTACAGCCTCAACCGAATCGCCTCCAGAGCTCACCCGGCAATGCCCCCGAAAGAATACCCGCTATGAATTACTCCTTACTGAAGGATAATTTACTACGGAAGAAATTGAGAGAGCTAGGAATTCCTGATTGGGGGCCAAGGCCGTTGCTTCAACGGCGACACACTGAATGGATGAATCTATGGAACTCCAATTGTGACTCCAGGATTCCAAAAACCAAAAGAGCCTTGTTGCAAGAGTTGGACATATGGGAGCGGACTCAAGGTGGACACGCAGCAGGTCCATCGCCATTTGCAACGAACAGTGCTGTTATGCGTAAGGACTTTGATGCAGCCGGTTGGTCCGCAAGCCACGACACTGACTTCAAGCGTCTGATCGCAAACGCTCGCATAAAGAGCGATACTCAAGTGCGATCCACGATACCTGGGGCGTCTGAGAAATCCACAGGTGAATCATCAACAGGCTCCGCCGCACCTGTTGCACCCGTGGAAGCTCCACCTGACAACGGTATTCCCGTAGAAAGCAATCAAAACATTGAGCCTCGTTCGTTCGATCCGTCGGGCTGAGTAGCAGGCATAATCCAAGACAGACTACCGGCATGGGAATCCGGTGCTTGGATAACTGCCTTATTTTGCTTCCATCGGGCGTTCCTCGACCGACAGGTTTGAAAGCCTGTTGGTCAGCTGGGCTTCTGTATCTTTGTCCGCTTGCCTTTGACGAGACACCTCGCCCGATGCCTCCTTCGGGCTGTCCAACTCGGCCAACTTTCTCCGCGTCTCCTCCGCTTCGATCTCCTCCTTGGCCTCGCGGCCGCTCTGCTCCATTGCCTCCAGCTCGTCGTCGATTTCGCCCTCGTCTATTACTGGTGCGGCCTCGTTCATAATACTGCCAACCTCATCCACCTTCGCCATCTCCTGGCGCAATTCCTCAACGACATCCTCCACTCTCTCTGCGCCACCGATCTGTGCATGCAGACCACGAAGAACACCTGTGCTTGCCTCCATGACCTGGACGATCTCCAGCTGTCCAGCAGCTTGCTCGATTTTGGAATATACTTCCTCGAGCTGCGCAAGTGTATTGAGGCGTTGCTGCAGGTTGTGTTCGACCAACTTCTTGGACTTGAGAGCGGAAAGAGCCGTGATGCGATTCTTATTATTGAGGGCCGTCTTTGCGGAGGCTGTTAAGTCGGCAATTTTTTCTTCGAGGCCCTCGACTTGTCTCGTTATCGTCGAGACAAGTGTCTTGATTGAAGCGATGGTCGAATCTTGCTGAGTGATGTCTGTCGAGTCGCCTGCGGACTTGAATTTAATCGTCTGCGATTATCAGCAAATAATCTTTAGACCCACTGTATATAGCTTCCACCTACCTTCCCATCATATGATATCACGCCATAGTCGCGAGACAAATATACTAGAAGAATATCAAAATCTGCATCTGAGACTTCTGTCGCATCGTGCAATACGTCTGAGAATCGCTCGACGAAGCTTTCTTTCGAATATATAAGATCAAGTTTAGATGGCTTGTACCCGGTAGCCCTTTTGATAACCAAGTCTGCGGCTTCCTGATAATACCATGACAGTGATTAGAAGAGTAACCGGCAGTAGTCCACTGACGATAGAGGGAAATCTCACCTTAAGATTCTCAACCAGCACCAACTCCTGGACCTGCAATTTAGGTGAGGATTCATCCGAGCCAATCACAGCCCCCTTCAACTGACGAACCCCCCCAACTCATAACATTCCAAGGACTCAAAGCACTGGGATCAATAATACGCCATTGGCTCTTCTTTAAACACCCGGCGTCTGTCTTGTAAATCGGCAGCGGCACCATATTCCTCTTCTGCATCGCCTCATTCTGTAAAATGCCTAGAATCAGCACAGTTTCCCTAGTCAAAGAAAATACTGGACCCAAGGACGTACAAAGACAGCACCCAGTGCCACGGGCCTGCCGAGGTCTGACAGCTCCAAGTCCCGCAAAAGCGACTCGTCGGTGCGGAGAATGAGGTGATCGGTCTTCTTGCGCCGAGTAGCGCTATTATTCTGGGAGCTTGTAGACCCCGAGCGCACGCGCACACCGCGGGATGAAGTGTGGCCGCGCTTTGCGGCGTTGTTCAGGGCTTGTTCCCATGCAGCAACGTTAATGGCGTAGCCATCGGGGTTTGTCTTCTTTTGGAGGGCGAAGTCTGAGTAGAGGGAAGGGAGGCGGTTTCTGGGGCGAAGGATGGTTGTTGTTAGCCTTTCATACAACAGCCAGGATGTTGGTTTGCTTTGTGTTTGCGTTGCTAGGTGAGTTTTGGGATGCCGAGTACCTTCTGAATGCATCCTCGTTCTTGAGGATGTAGTCGAGGAGCTCGCTCATGCTGCTGGTATCTGCACTTCCAGATAGTTCAGCAAGGAGGGGAGGTATCTGGTGCGTAATAGGTTGAGCGCTCCGAGGCCCAGATTCTTTGTTGGGGTTGTGGTGGGGAAGAAAGAGAGAGAGTCGGAGATCACAACAACTACCGGTGGACCCCAAAGCAGCCCACGGGTCCGCAGCTTTATCGATAAGCCATGTGATTCAACCGGGGCTACCTTACCTTAGCAACCATACTAGGGCATCTGTTATTGGGAATAGTATTAGAACTTCTGGCTATGGTTATAAAATGGCATCCATTCATGATACTCATGCGAGTTTAGCCTAGGCAATTGATATCTGGTAAATTTCAAGTGACGAAGAATGATGTAGAAAGCGTGGTTATACCGTGACATGTTCCAACTCTATCACCTAGTAGTAACTATTACTAAAGCAATATGCAGGTCCAAGGTATGCACAGATGAAATTGACACAATGAAGCTGATCTATTCTTATATGCTATGATTGGATATTAATATCATGCCTAGGCTCGTTCAAAGTCATCATTGGGCGCCTCCTCCAGAGTTCCGGGCCCCGGGCTCAGCTTGAGATTGCCCGCATCCAGCTGCGCTGGAAGCCCGATCAACGAGCGACGATGACTGCGCTTATCAAGTTTCTCGCTAATCTCTTCCGTACCAATGGGATCCTCAATCGGTGATTCGTCTCGGGCATCGAAACCTCTAGCCTCGAGGTATTCCACCTTCACGGCATGTCGCAAGTTATCAACGAAAGTCTGCATCTCCGGCATGGGGAAGGCTCCATCAGCCTCTAATACATCGGCATATAGACGTTCCGCCTCTTCAAGACAAGCTGATGCTAACGAAGGCTTTCCTGCCTTCAACCACTGGTCGGCAGCAAGAATACTCCACATGCCGGCTTTGCGTCGTCGAGCACCCCACTTCGCGCCTGTCACAGTGGTCTTGGAGGCATAGCATGCAGCCACCCGTTCCATAAAAAGGATTTGACCGATCGACTCAACTAAGCCAAAGTCCATGACCCGCATGGCCCACCTGGCGGCAGTTTCGATGGCAGATCCGCCCCGGGATTTCAGGAGTTCAACGGCCAACGTAAGAGAACGAAGGGCGTGGGGTGCGTCAGAGCATCGCGTGAGGTAAGAGTAACAAGCCGTCTCAAACATTTGATCAACGCTTTCTAGTTTGATTTTGGCCGACATCGCCAGTGGGTTCAAGAGCATACTCACAGCACACATCTCGTGAGCGCCGGCGTGGTATTTCCAAGCCTTGTCGTTGCCAAAGTCCGAGCGAATCATGTCGTACGTTGACGCTGCGAGTTTCCAATCGCGAAGCATAAATGCAAAATCGGCCATCTTTCGCAGAGTAGCCTCGGGAGATTCTGGCGCGTAGAAGTTCTGTGTTGTATCATAGTTCCCACTATTCCCGCCAGATGACCCAATACCGGAACGTGAACTGGAGCCGAAGGGCCATCGACGTGACACTGCTGCAAGTCGGCCGCTGATGCCGCGCCTTCGGGATGCAACTTGGTCATTCCAAACGGCGACTCTGTTCTCCATGAATGGGATTACTGATTGCACCATGAGCTCCCGAATGAAGGTCTTGATGGCGGTGGCGTCGGAGTCGAAAAGGTAGGGGGTGCCATCTGTACCCAAGTCCACAAGCGTTTCTAGCAGAGCATTAGTGTAAAGTTACATAAAGAGACCAGGAGTGGTACTTACCTGCTTCTCCAACCCCCAACAAGTGCTCCTGCGGAGATAACCACTCGCACGGGGGTACTTGTGTACTGTCATCATCCGTAACCACACATTGACTGCTCCGCAGCCTCAAAAGATGACAGTGTAATCCGAAATGCCTCTTCATCTGATCATATAATTTGGTAGATTCCGCGATATCATCCCGTTCTTCATCATGAATCAAAACGTAATACCGAAGATAGTCCTGCTGAATCCAATCCGGCAGCCGCTTTTCCCCAGTATTGCTCTCCGCATAAAGCTGCCGAAGTGTCTCCAGGGGTGCGGTATTCCGGGAGCTGATCGCGATGACGCTGGCGACGGGATGACCGAATGTTTCGTGAGGGGTCGCGGACGTAGACGACAGAAGTTGGCGGAGGAAAAGTTTGGACAGCGGTGTCGTAGCTGGGATGCCCAAGACGTCTTTCCCAGAGATGGCACCTCCCAGTGTATCTTCTCCTGAATTCAACTGTTTCTCCAGAACCTCCTCCATCTGCGCCAAGGGCGAGTCGCGAGCAGCATTGGCCGCGCCGAGACCTTTGATGTTCACGAAGCGTACCCCATAGTCTTCCCAAGCACGACTTGATCCGATACTATCCCGAATGACCACCTTCCCCGGTATTGTCTCGCCAAAGGGCCGCACCAAGTCCCAGAAGCCCCCTTTAAACCCCTTATTCCTCACCAGCGCATCGGTGTCCTCGGAGGCATGAACAGCGACAGTAGGAGAAAAAGCGCGGATGATCAACGACCTGATATCCTCTGAGCCGTCGGAGCGTCCATCGAAGGGTGAGCCGATTGAAGACCGGGCTAATTGCGGGGTGGAGGATCGACCGGAGCGAGATTGGGGTGATGAGGATCGGATCGGTAATTCGGCGGTTGCTGTAGGCAGGGGCGAGGTCGGCGATGACCCCGTACGAGCGTCTGCCAACTCGGCGTCCAAAGAGGCAGTGGCCTCGCTTTCATCCGGGTATCGTGATTTGGACGCGTTTCGCGCAACGCCGGGCGAGAAGGACGGCGGAGGTTTCACCGGGGTACCATCACCGGGCGATGTCATGGACACCGAGTATTCTTCAAGAACCTAAATTCTAAGTGTTCAAGAATTGGCAGGCCCCCCATGGACTGCGTTTTGATGTGAAGGGACGGTGGACGGTCTGGGTGGGTGACAACAGGATAAGGTCGGGTTCGGGGCCGATCAGGTCAGGCTAGTTAGATGGGTCAGGGTATGGCGTGAAGGAAGGCAAAGTTGGACAAAGCGCTTGGACTGCAGTGGCTGCGGGTGGCTCTGACGAGGGTAAATGAGGAGGGTTTGGGTTTGGGCAGGGTTGATATGGCTGGTAGATACAAAGCAATCGCCCTGCGGCACGGAAGTGATGAGTCCCTCCCTCAACCCAATCGATGCGGTTGGAGTTGGAGAGTGGAGTCCCGCAATACGCCCTTAATAGAAAAAAAATACTGACTTTGAAGAGACAGTTTGAAACTGGTTAGTTATCATTTAATTTTCTATACAGTTGTATACTCAACAGAAATTGATTTTTACTCAAGTTTATATACTGTAATTGCGGGCGCATTCAAGTTCAGCTTGGTGGTGACGCAACCACGTGAGGCCGCAGCTTATCGATCAGCAGTCACGGTGTGAGTCAATCTTGAAGTCAAGTTTTCTATGACTCTACACTACTCGACCTTGACTCTATACACATCTCCATGGACGCCGGAAGTCAATGACCCGACTGCGCCTGCTGGGATCTGTCTTTGAGATCTCTCGCTTGTCTTTCATTCACGCTCCACCTCTCCACTTCCGCACCGCAGCTCTACCAACACGCCCGCGCAGCTTCTCCAACCCCCTCCTACAGGCTTGCGCAGCTAGCTACCACCCTCTCATGCGTGGCCGCGAATCTGAATCCCATTCTCCCGAGCCAGCGAGCAAGAGACGACGCATATCGACCTCCCCCTTCACGCGGGGTGCCTTGCGCGAAGAAATGGCACCAACCCACATCCACCCCACCATTGAGCTCACTCCGATCGAAAGCACCCTCCGAACCCTCCTCCTAGACGTTGCGCAGTACATCCAGCAAAATGGAATTGTGGAAGAAGGCAGCAATGAGCCAAGATACCCCGAAACCGTGTTGCGATTCACAGGCGGTTGGGTTCGAGACAAACTGCTTGGGGTCGGCAGCCATGACATCGACGTGGGGATTAGCAGTATGACGGGTCACCAGTTCGGAAATGCCCTGAAGGAATATCTGGATATCCCTGAGAATCTTGAAAAATACAAAAAGGGATTGCCCAATGGTGAAATCCATGATGCCATTGTCAGTATCCACAAGATCGATGCCAACCCCGAAAAGTCAAAGCACCTGGAGACGGTGACAACCAAAATTTTCGGGCTGGATATTGATCTGGTCAACTTGCGCAAAGAGACATACACGGACGACAGTCGCAATCCACAAATGGAGTTCGGAACGGCGGTGGAAGATGCTTTGCGACGAGATGCCACGATCAATGCGATGTTTTATAACCTCAATGAATCCTGCTTAGAAGACTTGACGGAGCAAGGATTGGAAGACATGAAGAAGAAGATCATACGCACACCATTGGAGCCATATCAAACATTCAAGGACGACCCTCTCCGGGTACTGCGATTAATCCGATTCGCCAGTCGATTGGAGTACTCAATCGACGAGGAAGCAGAGAAGGCTATGCGAAATAAGGATATTAGCGATGCATTGAAGCTGAAGATTAGCAAGGAACGCGTTGGAACCGAGTTGGAGAAGATGCTGCGCGGTAAGTCTACCTCTACAGCTGTGTGTCTCTTTGCCTTTTCTTTCTTTCCCTTCTAACGACAGTCAAAATACCCTACAGGGCCCCATCCTCTTCACGCATTGCAATTTATTGATCGAATCGGAATTTACTCGACTATCTTTGCCAATCATCACGACCAGGCCGTTGCGGATACATCGAGTTGGTCTCTTGCCTACAATTCTCTGCAGCAGATCTTACACCCAGAGCCTGGAGCTCTCGAAGCCGATATCGATCGCCTGCGTGGGATCCTTATTCATCGTGATGACAGCGCTTACTATGCCTGGATGATTGCAACATTTGCTCCGTGGACATCAGTCCCTATTCGAACTCTCCCGGTCCTAAGGGGAAGCCTCTTCCCACTAGACCCGTTGAGATTGCCCGAGACGGCCTCCGCTGCGACAATAAAAATCTGAACGTTCTCCGCGACGCGACATTAAACTTTGCCGATATTATCAAGTGGAAGAACTCCTTATTGGCACACGAAATCAGTGGCACGCCCGCCGAGATTCGTCAGCAGACCGGGCTGCGAATCCGAGGCTGGGGCAAGGATTGGAGGTTGTGTATGGTATTGGCCATCCTTCAAGAAGTCATGCAGGGAAGAGATCTCAGCCAAGGTGAGAAGACATTGAGATGTGCTCTCCGCCACTCAATCAACGCCCCAGATCGACCCAACCGTACTAACCATTCAACAGTGGTTCGGGAATACAACCAATTCCTTGCGTATATTGTAGATAGTGACTTAGAGAGCGTATGTGAACTCAAGCCCATCGTAAATGGAGCCGAGATCATGCAAACCCTGGGTAGTCCACCAAAAGGGCCATGGATGAGCAAAGCGACGGCGTTGGCGATGGAATGGCAGCTGTTGCACCCCGCGGGCGATAAAGCGGCAGCGCTGGACGCGATTGTCGACCGCCGCGCAGAGTTGGGCTTGTGACGACGATTGGACGGACCGGACCGCCTTGGAACTTCAATCCATTTTACCTCTTCCGCTTTTACTTCCACTTCCACTTCCACTGTCTCCATATATCTCCACGTAATGGATCAGCTTCGAAAAGAGGCCCGTCGCGTCCTCCAGCAAACTCCCTGGAATCGCCCGACCACCTTGGAGTCCGCGTCCACCCGCTTGACTCTGGCACAATTATGGACGGACGTCTCATCCCATGAGAACTCCTCCCATTTAGATGTGAGATCGCTATTCCACAATATAGACCAAAAAATGCATGAAAATGTGCAAAATTTCAGACAGTGATACTGATGTGATATAGGCCTGCGAGAGTCTGTATGCCGCGCTCAGCTTCCTTGAAACCGGCTATGATCCTCTGCTACCAGCGCAGGATAATGCAGCGGAAGCCACGGCAATCAATGCCCTATGTCAATGGGCAAGTCAACTGGCCCTGCCGTCATCGGAATTTGCAGTGAGCTTCGATGAGAATCCTGAAATCACCGAAGGTATGTCATTTTCAAGGTTTGCGTGTGGCCTGCGGCCCGATGAGATGAGCAACGCTGAACGATGAGCAGAAGACAAAAACTCCCAAGAAGAAAGCCGCCTGAAATCAGAACTGGCAGCACAGTTCATTACCTTGATGGGGGCAAAGGCTATTTCCACTCTGGAAAACAACTCAGTCGCCAGTTCTCCGGATGTCATTGTCGCCATGGCGAGCTTCACCTCCGAAAAGGATCCCTGGACTACCAACGCCAGCAACAACTGTGCCGAAATACATCTCAACATGGCATGTCAGAATGATCTCTGGCCGATCATCGAAAGGGTTCTGAGAGAGAAAATCAGACCACTCTTTACCAAGACGAAGAATCCAGCGATTACAAGCGAGGGCCGTAAAAACCTCCATCCCGTGGCCCGAACTCGCTTCGATGGGGGCGCTCTGGATGACTCGACAAAACCGTGGAAAACCACGGATGTTTACGCCCCAGCTGTACTCTCTTGGATCATATGCCAGTATAAGGTATGCCTTCAGTGACCTCAAGATTCTTTTACACAAGTTGACCCGTCCAAGCCCGCCCACAAAGCCAGCCTCGAAGCACATTTCCCGCTCCTAGTCCCAGCCATTCTAGCTCTGATAGATGATAATAACATCACCTACAAAACAAAGGGATGCGATCTTCTCAGCCAGCTCCTCAATCCCATCCAGGAAAGTGGTTCCGATATTCTCCTCCGAACCAACCTGGTTTCGGTCTTCCAAGAAGCCGTCACGGCCTGCCTCCTCTCACTACCAAGCATCACACCAGAACCCAGTTCTCTAAAACTTCTAGGGGCAGCATACCCTGCCCTCCTCGCTCTTTTAAAAGCCACTTACCAACTCACCTTGAAACAACCAATCTCACAAACGGAAAAGAACACGCAATCCTATATAACAAATCTCACCAAAATCCTCCGAATCAAACCTCATCTCATCCTTCCACCACATCAGCTCATCTACACCTGCATCCACAAATGCACCTACATCCTTCCCTCACGCCCGTTTATCAACTTTCCTTCTCGGCTGGATATCAACATTCATCTCTGAACTGGGAATTCACTCAACAAAATACCTCCAAGACATCATCCCTATCCTGTACACCACTCTCTCAAATCCATTCGGAACAGCCCACCCACCACTCCTATCCGCAGCAATCGCAACCACTAAGACAACCATCTTGGCCGCCCACCCCCGTATATGGAGATGGCGCGGTGAAATCTTGGGCGGTCTCGCAGCATGCTGGTTACATGTGGCTGAAGAACGGAAGGGGACTGGGGAAACGCCAACCCCAGTGCTCGACGCATTAGCCCGTAGCCTGCAGAGCACGGCTTTTGCTTTAAAATATGCGCTGCAAAATCCCGTGCCAATTACGGGTGGGGCTTTGGATCCGGATCAGGTCGCTGTCAAGGAAGAAGTTCAGAGTGGGTTCCAGGCTCTGGTCGATGCGGATCCTGAGTTGGAGGGGCTTTTTGTTCCAGATGTTGCCGAATCATAGTCTAAGCTTTGTACGAAGTTGAAAAAGCATAGTCACAAATTCATTTATTGGTGTTCACTACATGATATTGAAGCCATGGTTAGTTTGCTACGCTGATGGTATGAAGGATTTACTTCAAGTTCGGGCAAGAAGCAACGCCGCTAGTGAAAGCACAGCCAATCACAAAGTAATCTTAATGCATTCCGGGGTATCAATCTGAAAAGGAAGACGGTACATGCTATATCACAAAAGAGAGAGAGAGAGATCATCATCATCATCATATATCAACCCGTTGCTTAAAAAGACTCTTCCCCCGCAACCACTGCCGATACCGCTTATACCGCTTCTTCTGGTAATCCTCACCAATCACAGTGAGACCTTCCTCAGAAACATTCAGGAACTCCGCGTAATCCGCCATGTTTTCCTCGGCATTTGCTTCGAGTGCAGCCTCCTCGACATTAAACCTGTTCGCATATTCGAACAGATCCGAGTTCGGACCGTGCTCGCCCCGAGATGTGGCTGTCAATCCGTCCTCTGATGTCACGACCAGCGGGACTTTCAGTGGATGATTGATGTATCGCTCGTATTCTTCTGCTTCCGGGCCTGTGACGGATGGGTTGAGTGAGTCTGTGACTAACTGGCCGAGCGTCCATTGGGCTATTTGGTCTTTGCTAGGAGTTGTTTGGGCGTTTGGGGCGTTTATGGGTGGGACGCGGGAGTTGTGTGGTATTCCGAAGGAGGATTCCTTGATTATCCCTGTTAATGGAGGTTGTTTTGATGAAGATGGTGCCTGTTGTCGCCATAGGTCAGTGGTTTCCGTGAGTGGCGGGGTTGAAACGGCCGCATGGCTATCGGATGGTTCCTGTATCTTCACACTTCTGGTTGGTGGCCGGTCGCGCTGGTGCTGGTCTGCTGGGATGCGAGGCACGAATGGGCTGTGGTCTGGGGGCGCATGTCCGGGACGGATTTGGAGCGGATAGCGAAAGGTTGAGTTCATCTTGTAGGAGAAGACTTTGGAGAGGGTAGACAATGCGAGTGGGCGGTAGTACTCCAACCAGTAATCATCGAAATGCGAAAGAGGCTCTTTCGGACGGGATGGAAGAGGCGGGATTTCTCGTTCTTTCAAGTTTTCCGGGGTGAACCATGAGATATAATTCGGTCGCTTCTTCTCCAAATATGACCTTGGGTCAGAATGGTGAAGGTAGTAGTCAGTAGACAGATCCCATAGCATCGGAGCGCCCTGTGCATATATGTAATTTCCAAGGAACAGATTGTAGGCCTCTTGTCGCTGGGCGTCGAGGAAAGAGTTGTTATAGTATCGCTTAAAGCTTTCGACCATGTCACGCGAGTGACTGCTCCACTGGTTGATTTTTCGATATGTTGCCATGGTGTTTACAAGATGAGAGCCTCCGTACTGAATGGCAATAGTGTCACCGTGATCGTGCCACATGTTGGTGAACAGATTGACAGCATCTGTGTCATATTCAACTGTCATCTCATCAATAACACCAAGGGCGTGGAGTTGATGCCCAAGAGCTCGCTTGCCTATGACAAATTGCGCGGCATTTGTACGGTCTAGACAATCGATGCAATTCGTCCGTGCAACGCCATTCTGAATTTGCAATCCCGACTCAACATCATTGCCGTTCTTGAAAAACCCGGTCTTTGGAATGATACCTCCCGCTATTCCTTCAAGCGTTTGTATGACGTCCTGATCTCGGCTCTTCGATGCACGACTCATGTCCCATGCCTTGTAGATGAGCTTTTTGTCTTCTGGGAGAAATTGGTTGAGATATTCCACGGCGTTGGTGAATTCTTTAAGGAGTTTCGATTCTCTCGGCGTCCTTTCTCGAGATTTGACGAGATTGAGAATGTAAATTGGGGCGCCGTATCTCTCGAAAAGATTATCAAAATGCAAGGCTGCGGCTGAATAGAATGGATCCACCAGGTTCAACTCAATGTCTGGTTTTGGTGAAACACCTGTATTCTCTTGGGTCCAATAGAGAGGTATACTCCCACGATGTTGGACATACGAAGTGTAATTCGGATTGGCGTGCAATGTAGGGCCAGCAGAGTGAAAGGAAGTCGTTGTCTGCTCAGAGACAATCTGCTCGGTCTCCACGTCATTCGCAACAAACCCCAGGTCATTTGCACCGCGCTTAAGGAAACGAGCACCAGCAAAGAATCGAGACCTACGGGCAATGATGGTAATATAAACCAGCCGCCCATATACACTTATCTTCGACTGGTCAACATATCCATGAATGATGGGAATGCACCAATCGTAGGGATTTTTGAAAGTCCCTATTGCCGGGGAGAGCAGGTGATTATTCCAGACGAACATGGTATTGCTGTCCTGTCCTTCGGGTCGAGGCGATCCATCTTGATGTGCTCTTCTTTCCCGCGAAATATTATGTTGCAATGTCCGAGTGATGTCATAAGAGTAGCTAAAATAGAATGATCGAGTGAGGTCTAGGTTGTTGAGGATCGCTCTGTATCGTTCTTCTTCCGACTGCTTTTCGGGCTTCATGCGAGATGCTTCGGCTGTCGTCAATGAGATGAGCTCGGTCTCATCGATTTGGTAGATATTGTGTCCGCCCAGAATTGCAACTTGGCTTCGCTTCGTTACCAGTAGCATGTAGTACGCTCCGGTGAACCGAATGAAGCCGAGCAATGCCCATGCGCTGGATTTCTGCTTCAGGCCACCCGAGCTCTTATTACCATCATCAATAGCATCCAATAGATGCACCATCTCTCTCTTTGTATAAACCATATCATCCTCCGTGACGCTCAGCTCGTCCGATTCGGAAGTGCGATCGATTTTCAGAATCCGGAAGCGTGTCTCCGCCAGATTGATGCCAACAATATAGAAACGTGTTGCTGTTTCATAAAGGGTGAATTTGTGCATTCGATTCAAGCCTTCGTCTTCAAGGTCCAACCCTGACCGATGTTTCTGTGCGGATATAGGGGAGGATTCTCGCTCGAAGGATGTAGCAACGCGGGGCTCCTCGTCTTCTTCTTCCGCCGGTATCTCTGAAGATATCGAATGCGCCCCGGTGAGCTCGCTGCCAGAGTCGATTTGAGCCGCCCGAGCTGCAGTCACCGATCGATTCGACGTGGGGGTGGCAGAGTCCACCGACTCGCCGTCGGCCTGTTTCCTGGGTTTTGCCTCATTGTTGGAAGGGGGATGGTGATCGTCAACATGTGGATCGGATACTGGACCTATTAAGGTCACATCGTCGAAGCTCTCCATCGCCAGAGCGATGTATCCAGAGCTGTCGATCAAGATGATCGGAGGAGGTGCGGACAAACGAGTCGGAGGGAGCTTTCCCCACACTAACAAAGGCACCCGTGACTGTGACGTGTTTGGTGGCCTAAGGCAACGAAGATTTATGCCAGTACTGCTAGTAGTTCAAGAACTACTAACTACTGTCTGCGCACGCTTTTTTGAGAATATGTGATATTCCATTTCTAAACAGTCTACACTTATATTCTCCTTTTCTCTCCTCTGTTTCAACGTTACATCACCCCGGCAAAAGATCCTCCACATTCTCTTCACCCTCTCAGAAGTTCAGAATAACCTATACTTCACTCGCCCTTCAAGGATCAAACGATCTGTAGATAGATCGCTTAACCGCAGAGGTGCGCTCCACTGGAAATTTGGATGCCTATTGAAAAGTCAGTCTTTAATCCGACATGCACTCTGGAAGCAAGTGACACCTACCGCTTGCGTCATAAAGGAAGCCATCGCTTCTGATGTAGACGTCTGAACGTATGTCAGTTGATATTCTATAAACTGATGGACAGCTAGTTTAGCTTGATAGCATACCTCCATAGCTGGATGGCCAGGTATAAGCAACGGAGTTCTTGCTACACACGGAGGAAGCAACCCAGAAAAATCCCCATCCACCTCCAACGGTGACGGAACCTCCGTTGTTCAGTTGAATCTCAGAACCTTGATCATCCTGAATCCAGCCATTCTTGCCAAACTGGTTGTGGACATGAGTTGCGGTGGCGGACAGAGCCGTGGCAAGGATAACAAGCGTCTTGGGAATCATCATTTTGGCTTGTAGTCGAAAATTGAGATCTGGACAGATGGAAGATGCCTTTCAAGGGAATTGCAAGTTGAGGTTGTCTGGAACACCTTTGTTTCTGGTAATATCATCGAGTCGCGGGAATCCAAGAGGCTTTTATAGTTCTCGAGCTGGATTGAATTGATTGTTGCCCTAATATCTTGGATCACGGAATGAGTCGGTCGAAAACCTTGCACGATGGTCTGAAAAATAGATCTGACCTAATCATGATACTATATTGGTCAGTTCATTTTCCTGATTTGACACATTTTAGATTGAGACTTTGGTGGGATATTTCTTCTTCAGCACACCTTGAAGTCCGATTGGCGTTGATGAATTTAGCCGGCTGAAATTGCTCTTAGGCAATACGCACGGGCGAAGTCGAGGTGGTATAGCCCCTGCATTCCCTACCTCATGCTGACGGCAGGAGCACCATGTTGTTAGGGGGGAAATACAGGGAGCAAGGATGTACAGGTCGTAACACATCAACATAAATCGAATATTTCAATATTTGGACATAAAGATGTACGAGAGAAAGAGAAATCCTACTGTCATTCTAAGTTCAAGCTGTTATTTGCAGAGGCCTTAATCAACTAGCACATCTTATCGACGCGCCTAATCACTACGTGCCTTTTGAAAACAACTCCTCGGGGCGTAGTCTAGCTGAGCCCATGTATTAGCTTCCGGATGCAAATCGAACTTATAAGTCCATTATACAGAATGGATACTTCCATCTACGGTTCTGGATAAAGCAGTGCGGGAGCTAGCGCGGGCTTGTCGGGGCACGGGCCGAATATGACGGGAACTACTGGCTTACACTTTCCCTATAGATCTACTCTCACCTTCCACAAGTTATAACATCTATCCAAGGGTCGCGCTAAGTATTCTGCAGGTAATCCGCGTGACTCCGACTAGCTAAGTCAGTATCTTACCTAGACAGATGACCCACTCAGGATAGTTGGAGCTAAAAGGGATGCGAAGGGTTCAAATAATTTTTAGAGCGCCACAGTGAGAGCTAGCCCAGGACCGTCAGATCGAATTTCAATTATGGCCAAGATAGAGAGGGAAATGGCAATTGCTTCTTTCGGAGGATTTGGTCACAAGTTCCGAGGAATCGTCTTGATTTATGATCCCTGTTTTTTAAAAAGAATTTGCTGGATCATCCTGACTCCCGTATCTATACTAGCTATTTGCTGCTTGGAGCGAGGCTGACTACTCTCGCATACACTTGAGTTCTGTACTATTGTTTAACTGGGAGAGCAGACCATTCCTTGCAGGTATTTATCTACGAGGACTGCCTGTCAATTTACTTAATTCAACAAAATGTCTTTTTTCCTTATTTTTTGAATGTCCCAAAATTCAAATGGAATGAGGTCAAAGTGGTCTTGTTTCATTTGGGCGTTGAATATTGTACCTAAGCTACCTTTTTGTACAAGCATATATAAGCATCTTGGCATGCAGGGTCCTACTAGATATCCTCCAATGGGAGGAAGGATCAAAAGGGTTAAAAAAGGGGAAGCCTCCAGGGCTTCAAGTTGGGAGTAACCAGTTCAATGAGTATTGCCGCAGTGTTTTGCTTCACTGGCTATGTAGGTCTTTACGTTACCTCGTCAGCTTAGTTATGTGGAGCCCAAGCCGCGATTCATGCATTAGCTGCTTCTAGCCCCCAAATTCCACCGATTCTAGCTGCCTCATTGGTTATCTTCATCAGTCCGAGGTTTGTGATCAATGTGCTTACTTTCGACTGAACTTTAGGTGCAATTTTTACCGACAGAAATAGCCAGACAATTGATTGCACGCTTATTCAAAAAAGCGCACTTTGCATGGCTGCCATATACCCTGCAATTTCACCCTCCAAATCCATTTTCCTATTCAGGGTTGAACTTGCCATGCAAGCCCCGCATTTGAGTTGCTGGTCAGTAGCAAACATACATATTTTACATGGTTGACAGACCAGTGCCTTTTTGCGAGCCAGTCTAAAGCCACGGTAAGTTCTCATCTTCCTAATTTTTACCCAGACATGATGACACCTGACTGGCAACTTGAAGACATTAGCTATGCGCGGACTAGGTTCGAAAACGCCAATTCCCTTGAACCTGTTCAAGGAGAACACGAACGTTATGCTGGCTTGCACTAAAGAATTGGCGCAGCTCGCGTATGGATAATAACCATCCGAATGCTACAATAATGCTCACGATATACAGACGACCGTGGTATCTGCCTACATGGTGGCGACATAGCCGCTGTGCTCATTCGCGCAAGCCGAATCTATTTTAAGACGTACCTCGAACACACCCGCCGAGCAGACCCTATTCAGATAAATCTGCATTTTCTGCAGCTTATTCCTCCGGGTTCTTTTTCATGTTCTGCTCGAAGACCAAAAATTGAGACGGCGACATTCACCTATCCAAGCCAAAATTACATCCCCGTCGTCAAAAATGCAACTATATGCAGTCTAACCATTTTCACCGTGGGTTATTTCAACACCAAGCTTGGCATTGACATGGATTTGTCTCCAATTCCGACTCCAGATAGAGAGCATGAGTGCGCCCGCTGGACAAACTCGTTGTTTTATAAGCTGAACCCACCGACGGCGAGCGTTCGGTACTACAACCCCAATGATGGCAAAAGTCTTCTCTGGGGTCCTGAAGGTGGGCGAGACCAGTGGGGCAAGTTAGACTCGGGCGATAATTTCCGTCTATAGTCTCTCGGTCTCATGGCGGATCTTGTATGTGCCCCCAGCACCTCCTTAAATGCCTTGGGGTGTTTAAACTTAAAAGTTCCGATACCTCCTACCCATCTAATTATCAGAAGAGTGGGCTCGATGGTGTTCTCTCTTTTGAGTATCCGACCATAATCATGGACTTTGATTTCCTTACTGACCTTGCTGGTAAGATGGAGTGGATCTGGAATCGCACCAAAATGCACAAGCTGGAGAACTACCGCTTTGACATGCACATCCAGATACTAGTACGAGTAGACGTTAGTGAGGATTTACTGGCCACACTACGGCAATTTAATTTGCTATTCGAGCACACGCGGAAGAAGTCACACCACCTAAAAAGCACAGCATGACTTAGAAATGAAACACTGAAAATGGGATGAAAGCAGCGATATTCGGCGCCCAGTTGATAGCCACCTACCGTTTTCGTGTAGGGGAAAATAGGAATCAAAACACTAATTTCATATGAGCTGAGGCATTTAACCCTCATTCCGAAATACTCCGAAGAATCACCATCCCCAGGTCGAGATCTGGGGATTTCAGATCGAAGGAAGAATGTGGCCAAGAGACCGTTCGGACAGGCACCGATTGCGACGGGAGCTAATCCAAACCCGCGCCAGCAATTGGCTCGGATTGCCGTGAAAGTTTATGCCAATCACCGATAGAGCCCGACTAGGGATGACCTCCGCATGAAGCGGTGGTGTCCCCTTACCACAGGCCTCCTCGCATTCACCCGCCAAGACGCGGTTGGGGGAGGAATCCTTGGCGGGTGGCGGGGGCGCCGGGGGCAATCGAGGGCCAATCCGGAGTGTCTCCGCGGGGGTGCTTGTGCCCGCCCACCGCAGATGGTCGTTAACGTGGCTGAAGTCAAAACATTCAAAACCAATGCCCGTTTGACAGCGATAGCTGTAAGAGAACCTTAACATCAGCCAACACTTTCCAAGGTTTGCTTGATTTTGACCTGCCCATTACTACTACTACTACTACTACTACTACTACTACTACTACTACTACTACTACTCGTATTGGCCTCTCAACTTGAAAGACTTTGGAGCAAGATTATGTTCCCCACTGTCATGTCTATATCGTAGCGGTGAGGCATCCAATTTCAACTTCCAAGGTTTTTCTATACTGCATTTGTCATTTTATGTGATGGTTCCATTACCGTTCTATCCACTTTCTTCCTGATTGTGTAATGGATAGCTCGGCAGAATGCCCTCCAGAAATTGGAGTGATTAAGAAAAGTGTGGGGTGCATAGATATTGCGGAGATGAAACGACTCAACCCCTTCTCGTGGAAATAAAATTCAAAGCTCAGCCTCCAACACATGGGAGACAATTAATTACGGAAAGGATCATCCTAAAGGTTCATCCGGATGAATCATCATATCCCTGTCTACTTCGGTGGCCTTGATATGGGTACGCTTTGATACATGGCCCTCGCCCGTGCCTACTCCGTGCTTCTCTCACGATCCTGCGGATGGCAAATGATGTCTCAAAGAGCTAAATGCCAAGAATGGTGAAAACTTTCAAATTTGACTTCCACATACATATTGGATTCCTGGGGACATGGTCCAGAATTTCTTGGCGACTGCCATTCCTCCTGGTCTCCGGTGTTAGAGACTCGGAATACGCTAGAAAACTGGTGTTCTTGGAATTTTTTATCAGCATTTATATGACAATTTCAATGTGGTTATAGAAAGAGTTACAGAATGGTAATTTAAATACGGGTTTCCTTGTCTGGGTGTTGCTCGTTCCCAGTTCGGACAATTGGTTGGATTCAACAAACAGCCATTTCGTACTCGGTTGAGTTGACTGTTTGTGAATTTCAAGCTTACCTACCGCTGCCCGATAATCTCCGAGTTAATAAAGAAACAGAATAGCCTGATTGGATACCCCAGCCTAAAGTAGACATGTGCCGAGCCTCCCCCGCTCGTGTTCTACTGATGAGTCCGGGGTCTGATGCTATGTGGCCCCCACCACATGGAATTAGTACTTAAGAAATGCTCCGTCGTCCCTCTGTTTCACGATTTCCTTTGATTGAAATATTATCTTTATTGCCTTTTCTCTAGTCCACGCTGCCAATTTGTTCAGAAGTAACGAGTATCCTCGTTCATAATGGCAGGCGGTGCTGCTATCAACGTTTTCAAATTTAACACAGGCGGTCTGCCTAAAGAGACCCTAAACTGGAGACTATGGTTTGCAGTCTTTACGTTTGGCATCATGGGTGCTGCCCGTGGTGTTGACGAGGGTCTCATTACGGGTGTCTTTAATTCTCATGCGTTCAAGGAGCAACTTGGCATTGACGATCTTGAGGATGGTGAATTGGCCAGTGTCAAGGGTACTATTTCCTCGATGGTTCAGCTTGGTAGTGTCGCTGGCGCTCTGCTGTAAGTATTGTCTACATATAAATTTCCCTCATCTCTCAACGATCTCGCCGGCAGTTTTATCTAATGCCGTTTCAATTACAGTGCTTTCCTCGTCTGTGATCGTATCGGTCGTGTTTGGGCTACTCGTCAACTCTGTGTCCTCTGGATTCTCGGTATCGCTATTTTTATTGGAAACAACGGTAGCATGGCTGCTGTATATGGCGGTCGTTTTGTTGCTGGTCTTGGTATTGGACAAACTTGTGTTGTCGGACCAATCTATCTTTCAGAAATATCCCCGGCTCCTATTCGTGGTCTCTGCACCTGCATGTTTACTGGCGCTGTGTACCTGTCAGTCCCCCATTGAGCTCCCAATATCACAACTTGCGATACTAATATCTAGCATAGTGGTATCATGCTTGCCTACTTTGCCAATTGGGGTACTGAGCTTCATATGGCAGATGAGTTCAACCGTTGGGTAGGTCTTAGACCCTGCTTTTACGTTGAATTAACTAACGCTTCCTTTATAGGCCGTTCCTACTTCAATTCACCTCATGTTTGCCGGAATTACACTCATTCTCACATTATTCGTGCTAGAGTCACCGCGTTTCTACGTCAAGCAGGGACAGCGTGAGAAGGCTCTTGAAGTGCTTTGTAAACTCCGTGGCTTACCCGCCGATCATGAATACGTTCTTGAGGAAATGACCGAAATGGATGTTGCTTTCCAGGAGGAGATGGAGGCCACTCTCGGCATGGGCTGGAAGGGCCTGTTCAAGGAAATCCTTGGAATCAGACGGAACTCGTACCGTCTGTTCCTCACCAACCTTGCACAAAACATGGCTTGCTGGTCTGGTGGCTCCGCAATCACGGTTTACGCCCCTGATCTGTTCACACTTGTCGGCATTACTGGTCAAGAGCAGTCTCTCTTCTCGACTGTTGTCTTCGGAGTCGTCAAGTTTGTTGCTTCTATAATTTGCGCCCTCTTCCTTGTCGATATGGCCGGTCGAAAACGCTCTCTGATCATTGGCATTGTTCTACAAACCATTGCGATGTTTTATATTGCCATTTTCCTCAACATCGTGCCTATCGCCAACAATTCCGACTTTTCTCCCAACGCAACCCAGAGCCAAGCTTCCACTGCCGCCATCGCATTTATCTATATTTCGGGTGCCGGTTGGGCTCTCGGATGGAACAGTGGTCAGTACCTGCTGTCCTCTGAGTTGTTTCCACTCCGCATCCGTGGTATTTGCTCGTCTATCACAATGGCCATGCACTTCATCTGCCAGTACGCCGTTAACCGCGCCCTGCCCGAGATGCTGCTTGTTGATAAAGGCCTCGGTCCTGCGGGAACATTCTACTTCTTTGGTGTCATTTCTTTCCTGGGCGGCGTATGGGTTTGGTTCTTTGTGCCTGAGGCCGCAGGTCGTAGCCTCGAGACTATTGACAAGATGTTCGATCTTCCCTGGTATAGGATTGGTCGCCATGGAAGAAAGTTTGCCGAGGATTACGACCGCGAGCAGGAGCAAATCTTCCGGAACGAGAAGATGGATCAAGGAGCTGCTGCCACCCACCACGAAGCCGCCTAGATTGAGCATTTGATCTTTTAGAGGGAAATATCTACGATTTTTGTTTTTTTTGTTTAGGCTAAGACGTGAATATGAGATACGGAACAAATTGAGCATTTTATTTCTAATCACTCATCAATCTTGCAGTTATTAATGTTGTCTTGCCAGGCCATGGTGGCATAGCGTGGAATAAAGGAATTTGTCGTGAAGTTTTCGGGAAGATAAAGGCGAGCATCATTCGTAGAGTAGTTTGTTACCGGGTTATAGGAATTCAAAGCTGTCACAATTCTTCCGGCGAGGAAGTCCGAAAATATCATGTCAACCTTGTCCGGTTCACCATCTGATGGAAACCCAGCAGTAGCTTGGACATGGGCTGGCTGGGTGTATTCTGGAATTGATGAATGAGGAGTGTCATCGCCATCACTTCCAAGGTCATCGCATGTCACATATCCGGGAGTCAAGGTGTCGGTTTCAAGAATACGACCAAAGAGTCTTTTTGGCTTTAGAAGCCCGGTCGCGTTGTGAGGCGATGGGTTATCGCATTCATCATAGCCCAGAAGCTGGCTTGAGATAGTATCCACCGCCATCGATCGTTTAGACTTAGCTTTCTGATTGTTGATGTAGTCAAGGACCTTTGAAGCCATAGAGTAAGGTACATCGGGGATGTAATTGAAGGTACTCGTATATGGGCAGACGATGTAGGAATCATCCACAGTGAAAGGACCCTTAACCAAGTCGTACCTAATGGCGCCTTGATTCACAATAATCATTCTTGAATTTTGGGCACGATCGGGATCGACCACAGTTGCTGCTGCTGCCTTTTGAACTAAAGTGTAGACATTGCCTTCATCGCCGAAGGGCTTGCAAGATATGCAGTATGTTCGAGGCGCGCAGCCATACACATGAGTGAGGTTCATACTCTTGCGACCATCGTCAATATCTTGAGTCACCTGAACTCCGCTAGCAGTGCTGAACTGGTCTTGAGATCCTGTCGCATGATAGGAAAATGTAAGCCGATTCCAATCCAGATATCGGCGTGTCAAGTCCATATCAAAGGTCTGGTTTTTGGGGCATGACGTGTCGGCAGAATCAATGGGTCTTTCTTCGTCACCGGTTGTAGATTCGATATTGGGCTTGGTTACTCGGCTCTGAATGGACTTCGACTTGATACCATCCAGAGAAATCCAGCCCACAGTATCGCAATATTTGCCGGATTCTATGGCTGAAGACATCTTGTCGTAAATGTGAAAGTCCCGACGATGTGTGTGACCTCCAAATCCCTGAACGGGAATTTCTGGTCGCATTTCCCGAAGAGTTTGCATGATGAGAGGGAAGCTGCTTTCAGCCTTGGGGATTCCGGGCTTGACTGGGTTGTGCCCAATCAGTACAAACAAATCGATATCCGGGTTATTCACTGCGTTTTTGAACCAGTCTTCTTGGATCATTTCAGCTGCCGGTTGAATTCTTGTCATGCTCTTGTTGTTGTTCGTTCCATCCAAGATTACACCAAATGACATGATTCGAATTCCTTGCTTGGTGGTGAAATGCCGGAATCTGTTACCCATAGAAACCCATTGCTTCTGTGCTGGATCGCTATCTTGGCAATTGTCGCAGATATCGAGATTGCTGGTAAGATACCTTTCGCCATAGACTTTGGCGAATTTGGAGAATGTTTCGTATGCAACATCAAACGCAATGAGCTCATGATTTCCAGGAGTGAGAATATCGTAGTCGATGTTTTGGAAGATAGGATTCGTGATCTCTCCATTCGGTTTTGTTGAATCACTGAGACCATTGCCATCATGTAAATCCCCTATTTATAACTCGCGCATTAGCTTCCATCATTCAAGTTATTCAAATTATCATGATAACTAACCAGTATCAATAAGCAATAGGTCGACGTTCTTCTCGGCTGCCTTATCCCGCATGTGCTTCGTGAAAGACACAAAATCGCCCCAATCCGCACCATAATTGCGCTCTTTGATATGCCCCTCTAGCCAGCCATGACTGTCTGATGTGTGAAGAAAATTGATTTCTCCCCAATTCAAAGGTCCCCTTGGCTTTGTTGTAGCGTCCAAAGCCCCAGGCTGCATGCGACGCATTACCCTTGGATACACCAAAGGTTCCTCGTCGCCCTCACAAGAGGGGCATACTGAAACAGCAGATATGACCGCCGTCAGGCCAATTAGAACAGATAGTACTGTCATGGTATCGTATACCATGCGGGTACTGGGACAGATGGATTAATTGAAGGTCTCGAGCTTGAAGATGTCACCTCAGGAATCATACCCACTAGTATAAAGGAAAATATTTCCGACAAGGCTTTATACTGGTTTGGGCACATAAATCACTGGCACTTCGGTTATTTATTGTAGGCAATTAAAAAGGGCGGGCATGTCTAGGTGTAGTATCTTGGGCATTCTTGAGTCCCTCGACGAGATGTCCGAGAATGTCTGTGGAACATTGACCTGTGGAATGCGATTGTTGTAGTGATCTACCATCATCAGTACTGTATGCGCCTCAAATCAGAAGTTCCGAAATAGACTGTTGAGTAGACGTATCGAGCCCTCCTCTTTGATCTTGAGCGTAATGGATGCGTTGAACATAGGCAGAGAAGTACATTTTAAGGGCTCCACGGCTAGGTATTCAGTGACCGAGAGCTCATGGGAGAAATCGACTTTAAAAACTTGAATGCATTCAGAACAGCTCAAAGCCTCCCCGGCAGTAGAAAGTCGGAACCGAGCAATATATTAAAATAATTATTACTGATAGCAGTTTAAACCTTCGACTGACGTTTCTCAAGCGCCTTTCGTCTACTTCTCAATGCCTTCATCTCCTCCTGAAGGGCCAATTTCTGCATAATTTCTTCTGACCCCCCACCGACGACATGAACACGAGCATCGCGACTAATCTGCTCGACCCGTGCTCCTTTGCCAGCCTTGTTATACCCCGCCCCTCCAAAGATCTGCTGTGCTTCTCGAACACTTTTTTCCAAGGCGCGGGTAGACATGACCTTTAGTAAGGCGGTCATTCCCCCAATCTTGACATCGTCTACTGGCCGATCCTTGGTGAGCTCGAGGATATTTACAAGCTGCTCCATGAATGCGTATGACGGCTCAATCATGAGACCAAATTTGAAGATCTTTGATTGAATGGCGTCCTTTTGGATGAGGGGAGAGCCGAAAGTCTCGCGTTGGATTGCATAGTTGAAGGCATCTTCAGCGCAGACACGGGCCAATCGCAACGACGCGCAGGCTAAGGCCAGACGTTCCGGATTGAAGTCTTGAATTAAGATTAGCAATCGAGCTGAAGATTATCGCGGGAAAACTTACTCGACATGATGAGTGCGAAGCCCTTGTTCTCTTCTCCAATAAGATTTCCGACAGGCACCCGAACATCGTCCAGTTCAATAAAAGTCGACCCTGTCAATGTTAATTTGCTGTATTTGATTGTCAAGTAAGGAAGAAGTCTTACCACTTGCATGGACACCTGAATTGAACATTCGCCGACGAGTCACGCCCGGAGCAGCCAGGGGAATAACAAGCAAACTGATTCCCGATCGTCCAGCACCTCCTGTTCGCACAGCAGCAGTGCAGTAATCAGCCCAGAGGCCATTTGTGATCCACTTCTTCGCGCCATTCACAATATAGTGATCACCAACCCGGATCGCGGTTGTTCGGATATTAGCGACATCAGACCCAGCTACGTACAAAAGTCAGCACAGACACTAAAAGGATTCAAAGAAGAAGAGGATGTACCATCAGGCTCGGTAATTCCTAAGCAGAATCGGATGTCACCTTTCGCAACACCAGGTAGCCATCGATTTTGCTGTTCGGGGGTACCAAACTTGGCGACCGGCGGACACCCAATTCCATTCCCACCACCAAGACCCCAAATGACGCCGACGTAGCCCACGCGTGTCAATTCATCCGACACAATGAGTGAGCACCAGGTATCCCATTTATCACGCGGGACATTCCCCGGCAACGACAGGCCGGCTGCGTTCTCCTCGGTTGTGAGAGGGTGTACGATGCTGAATCCCAGTTCGCAATGACGTCGACGCACTGACTCGGGCACTTGCCCAGCTGCTTCCCATTCCGCTGCATAGGGTGCAATGGAAGTATCGACGTAATCACGGACCCAGGCACGTAGGTTGTGGTGCAAGTCTGTGTAGTAGGGGTTTTGCACATCGAGTTGGGGGAGTAGAGGCTCGCTGTAGGGAGCGGTCGGAGCGCGGAGGTTGCGCGCCATAATGATGGATTTGTTGGTTGAGAGATAAGAAAAAGAATAGATTGACGGTTCCACAGAGAGACAGTGATTTTCTACATGTCTGGGGGTTGAATGAGGTATGCAACGTGAATGCAGTGTGAATGCGGGGAGGTGCCTGTGAAGAAACGCTGCTTCCTTAGACCGAGGCCCGTCGGGTAGGCCGATCATTACCGCAAATAATTGTGAGAGGAGTGTGCATTGTTTTATGCTGGGTATATCTATGGTTTCATCTGGGAGAAATGAAAATCCTTCGCTGTCCATCATTTTGAGCTGTGACGTGTCTCTAGCCTTTTTACAGCTTTGTAGATTTGTCGTAGTTGATCCTTCACATCCTGGCAGCTCCACCGATGAAGCGATTGCGGACATAACATTCCCTTAATACAGGTCATCAAGGAGTCAGCGACGATAACGCCAATATCCAGCTTTGTCTCACCATGATCAACCTTGGAAGCAAAGTCATCCGGGAAGGAGATTGATCGGGTCAATTGGTTCAACACGAGTTGGCGCTCCATTTTAGTATTTAGTTGGTAGACGAGCTCGAAGAGAATGACGCCAAGGGCAAATACATCCAATTTCTCGTCGATCTTGTATTCATCAAAATAGCCTGGCGTGTCACTATTATCGGTGCTAGCAGGTGGTCGATAAAACTCCGTTCCCACCACGCGCTGAATCTTCGGGGTGCGATGGAAGGGAGTCACGGTTCCTTCCGAAGCGGGTGTATTGAGATGGGAGATATCTGCCACGAGACCAAAGTCACCGATTCGGGGGTGGCAGAACTGCGAGGGGGAGTTTGGTTCCGAGTAACACGGAATGCATGTGTCTGTTTTGCTGTTTTGTGGCAAAGACAAGAAAATATTCGCGGGCTTCAAATCCCGATGCACAATATTCTGGGAATGAAGATACTCGACACCCGAAAGAATATCGAGAAACAACTTCAATGATGGCATCAGATGGAAACAGTGCCGTCGCGATGGCGTGCAGTCGTTTTCGTTGTATTTGGCTGCAGCGTGAGGATTTAAATAGGAGCTGAGAGAGATAGGGTGGAGCGACATTTGGATATGAAGAATCACAGCTGGGGCCTGGTTCCCTGGCCGGCACTGACGCTGGACTTGTAGCTTAGAATGATCTTGACTTAGTCCGTCGGTGAAAATATCATCGGTCTCTCCGAAAGTTGATGTTTGTCCATGAGAGGGGTTGTCGAAATTCCGAGGGATGGACTCGATATCCTCATCGTCTTCCCATCCAGTTCCGGAACTCTTCTTGGAGTGTCGAGATGATGATGTCGCATGGCTATCCCAACGTCTAATCCTATTGGAAGATCCTTGATCCTCGGGGTAGGAGTTCGGGTGCGAATCTGCCATAGAGCTTTCGGAGTTCTCGAATACAATTCCCATGCTGGGTTCATTAACGGTCCCTTGGCTAGGTAGGGGTTCCTCGGAGGGTTCATAGCGCGGGTGCGGGGGTTGTTCGAAAGGGCTGTGGCTTGAGACGTGTGCTTGTTCGACCCATGCCCCGTAGTACCGAACAACATTCGAATGCTCCAACCTAGCAAGAGTTCGAATTTCTTTCATGATGGTTTCCAGTTGATTCTGTCCGCCATATTGCAATTGATCGAGGCGCCTTTGCGAGATTGGCACCTTTTTCAAAGCATAATCTTGTGAGTCAATATGATTCTTGACATGATAGACTTCGCCGAAAGAGCCTCGTCCCAGCATTTTGAGCTCGCTAAATTCGACGGAATAGCGAGACATATTGTTCAATGATGGAGCTGACGGTTGCGGAAAGAGTGAGATTCCTACTGGTGAGCTTCCGAAGAGCGGGCGTGAAGGATTCGGTACGCCTGGTGTGCTATCGAGAACATCGAAGTTGCCGATCGAGGGAAGATGCCTCCCAAAATTGCCATCGGCCCCATCCCTTGGCCATACTGGAGTTGTGCTTTCAGGAATAGCAATTCCTTGAATATTTCTGGAAACAAGAGCGAGTTCTCGATCCTCTCCACCTTCGATCGGTGACCGAACACCGGGCTCACCGAGATTGAGACCTTCGAGAGCGGAGAGTCCGAGCATATCAAGACGGTCCCGATATTCTTTCCTAGTAGCCCCCAGCCTCTCTTCGTGGGCTCCATCTGCAACCAGGCCATGTTTAGACAGGATTTGGGACTGGTACTTGTACAACTTCTTCCCAAGGTACTGAGCTTCCGGAGATTGCTTCGTGTAGGTTTTAGTCGATCCGGGTTGCGCATTGAGAATATCTGCTGCACGGCTTTGACAATAGAACTCTAGTAGGGCAGATGTCATCATGTTGGCGTGGTGGTCTGCATTGATGTCGATGGTGTCCAGGGATGGGATAGACGCCTCTTCAAGAGAAAGGGAGTTTTCCGAGTAACTGCCTGCCGGATCTATCTTTTTAGATGGCTCGTCGGCCTCCCTGTTATGACTTGTCCGGCGAAAACCGTGACTAGGTCTTGCCTCATGTGATGAAGACTCGTGATCATGAGATGCATCTTCATCTCCATCGGAGTCAGGCTCTGATGAGGATAGATCTGCGGCTGACCTGAACATTGACATGCTGGTATCCAACTGGAATTTCACGTTGATTCCATTCAGAAGTTGCGTAAAAATCGAAACACAAGGCACAACCACTTTGGTTCAAAGGTTAAGAGTTGTCAATTCCAAGGGTTGGCTGCAACTTGAAAACTTGAAGTGTGGTATGGGAGTCGGATGGTGGGATGGTGGGGTAGTATATATATTCAAGTTTGTTTGGTGTTGACTTGGGACTTGAATATTAGTCCAATGCACCAGAGCAGTTCCGAAAAGGAGAACAAAGAACGTCAACCTTGGACGAATAGGCCACACTAGGCTTTGTCTCAAAAGACGCAAGGTGTCAACATGCTCTAGAAATGGCGATGATTCACTCAGGCTTCCATCGGATTCCACTTGTCTCTGAGAGGGCAGGCACAGGCAAGTAGACGGGCTCGGGAAGAGCAATGCGCCAGGCAGCCTCAATAATTCAAAATGGACCCGGTATGATCGAATTAGATTGACCCAAACGCAAAGTCTTAACAACCTTCAATGACATTCAAGTGTCATGGGAAGAAGCGTGTCAGCCGGGAGAGGCAAATGTAAATGCGGCCTGAGTCCACCTTTTCTGCCGGCAAAACATCCGCGCCGCCAAGAGCCGCATTGAAGTCCAGTCCAAAGCAGATGAAGAGGATTTATATAATGAAGAGCATTGGCAGATACTCCGAAATGATTTCACATCTCAACTCAGTTGACTTGTACAATCTTTGATGAAGATGGTAATGTCGTGGCTGTCACTGGACGATGTATATGCACGTGACATGGTGTCATTGGTCAGCTTTATCTTATCAGCATGTGACCTCTCACGCGTTAAGAGCGTCACGTCGAAGGCGCGACGGAAGACACGAACACCTGCAGGACACCCGCGACGACTTTCTGCTGTTCGGACAGTTGCCCGCCCAACACATTCTCTCCTTTCCGACGTGACGACCGCTCTCTTCGACTTTCGACTTTTCAGGCGTGTATGAATGCACCTGTGACGAGTTACAACCATGCCGGAAGCCATTATGCCCCAGAAGCGGGTGCTGGGCGACGCAACCAACGGTAACGGTGCCCGCAATGGCTTTGTTTCCCCCGCCGCGCTCAAGAAACGCAAGATCGAAAACGAAACTTCCTCTCACCTCAAGGCTCCTCCCATGGGGACGCAGAGAAAGGGGTTTGGGTCCACCAAGCCCCAGAAGAGCCAGTTCGAGGAGGAGGTACTTGAAAAGCTGACTCAGGACATGGGAGAGTTGAAACAGAACAACGCAGAGAAGGACCAACAATGGGAACGGCCCCCTCTCGGGGAATTCGACCCGGCTACAGAGAATATTTGCTTCCAACAGATTGATGCGGAAGAAGGCCGAATGGTTGGCGACAAGATCGCCGTCCGCCTCTTCGGTGTCACAGAGGTATGTTCGCCTTGAGAGATGCACCTCCCGCTCACGGTCTGATCTAACATGGTATACAGGCCGGTCAATCGGTTCTTTTAAACGTCACCGGATTTCAGCACTATCTCTACATCGCTGCCCCGGTCGGTTTCACCCAGGCCGACTGCAACCCGTACCGTGCTTTCCTCGAGACCAAAATGGCGCAATCGGTTCCGGTGATCCAGTCCGTCCAAGTAACGATGCGCGAGAACATCTATGGCTTCCAGGGAAATCAAAAAAGCTGGTACCTCAAGATCACAGTGGCCGACCCAAGGTTTATCGCCAGACTCCGCAGTGCGCTCGAAGCCCCAGGTGGCTCAATGAACTACAAGGGACTCTGGGGTAATTTGACCGACTCCGGAATCCTCACTTTTGATAATATCCAATACCTATTGCGATTCATGATTGATACGGGGTTGCACGGCATGTCTTGGGTCGAGGCGCCGGCGAGCAAGTATCGTCTAATCCCAGAGTGGGAGAAAGTGTCAACTTGTCAGCTTGAAGCTGTCATGGACTATCGTGACATGATCGCCCATGCGCCGAATGGTGAATGGGCCAAGATGGCCCCCCTCCGCGTTTTGTCCTTCGATATCGAGTGCGCTGGCCGCCAAGGTATCTTCCCAGAGCCAAACGTGGATCCCGTGATTCAAATAGCCAACGTCGTGACTCGCTACGGAGAGTCAAAACCATTCGTCCGGAACGTATTTTGTCTTGATACCACAAGCCTCATTGTGAATACGCAAATTCTGGAATTTAAGAACGAAGACAAAATGCTCATGGCGTGGAAAGAGTTCTTGCAAAAGGTGGACCCAGATGTTATCATCGGTTACAATATTGCAAACTTCGATTTCCCTTATCTCTTGGATCGGGCTAAGCATTTGAAGTGTGGTCACTTCCCATACTGGACCCGCCTGAAGGGAACGAAGACAGAGGCTAAAGAGGCCAGTTTCTCCAGCAAGCAAATGGGTAACCGTGAGACAAAGGCGACAAACACGAACGGCAGAATCCAGCTCGACATGCTTCAACTGGTTCAACGCGATCATCAACTGCGAAGTTACACACTCAACTCGGTTTCTTATGAGTTTTTAGGCGAGCAAAAGGAGGATGTCCATCACACAATGATTACGGAGCTTTTCAACGGTACACCGGACTCACGACGACGATTGGCAGTCTACTGTCTAAAAGATGCCTACTTACCACAGCGATTGATGGACAAGCTAATGTGCCTGGTGAACTATACCGAGATGGCAAGAGTAACGGGTGTACCCTTCAACTTCCTGTTATCCCGTGGTCAACAAGTAAAGTTCATCAGCCAGCTGTTCCGAAAGGCCCTCGAACAACAGCTCGTTGTCCCTAACTCTAAATCGCATGATGAGCAAGATTATGAAGGTGCTACTGTCATTGAGCCCAAGCGAGGATATTACAATGTTCCCATTGCGACTCTTGATTTCGCCTCTCTATACCCATCAATCATTCAAGCACACAATCTGTGTTATACGACATTGCTCAACAACACCAGCGTCGAGAAGCTTGGCCTGAAGAAAGATGAGGATTACATTGTCACACCGAACGGTGACATGTTCTGCACCACGAAAGTTCGCAAGGGTTTGTTGTCACAGATTCTTGAGGAACTTCTTGGAGCCCGAAAAAAGGCCAAGAAAGAGCTCGGTGTTGAAACAGACCCCTTCAAAAAGGCTGTTTTGAACGGTCGACAACTTGCCTTGAAGATCAGCGCAAACAGTGTCTACGGTTTGACTGGTGCCACCGTCGGCAAACTTCCGTGTCTTCCAATCGCTAGTAGTACCACCAGTTACGGTCGACAAATGATTGAGAAAACCAAGGAGGAGGTTGAAGCCCGGTACACAATTGCCAACGGGTATTCTCACGATGCACAGGTCATCTATGGTGATACTGACTCGGTGATGGTCAAGTTTGGAGTCGCCGAATTAGCTGAAGCCATGAGGTTAGGCCAAGAAGCTGCAGATTTTGTTTCGTCCAAGTTTATCAAACCCATCAAACTGGAGTTTGAGAAGGTGTACTTCCCATACCTTCTTATCAACAAAAAGCGATATGCTGGTCTTTACTGGACGAATCCTGACAAGCACGACAAGATGGATACCAAAGGAATCGAGACCGTGCGTCGTGATAACTGCGTGCTCGTCCAGAATGTCATCGAGACGGTATTGAACAAAATTCTGATCGACCGAGACCCCGATGCTGCCCAGGAGTAAGTACACTGTGTCGACGTGCCAAGACGTGAAGCAACAGCTAACATGAGTTGACCAGATATGTCAAATCCACCATCTCGGACCTTCTCCAGAACAAAGTCGATATGTCAAAGCTGGTCATCACCAAGCAGCTCTCGCAGAAGGAATACGCTGCTAAGCAAGCACACGTCGAACTTGCCAAGCGCATGACAAAACGTGATGCAGGTTCTGCTCCTGCCCTCGGCGACCGTGTAGCCTACGTCATGATCAAGGGTGCTACGAATTCCAAGGGCTACGAGCGAGCGGAAGATCCCATCTACGTGCTGGAAAATAACGTTCCCGTCGATACGAAATACTACCTAGACAACCAGCTTGCCAATCCCCTCGGTCGTATCTTCGAGCCCATTCTTGGCGAGAAGAAGGCTAATCAGCTTCTCACCGGCGAGCACACGCGGTCGATCTCCGTCGCCGCACCCAGTCTCGGTGGTTTAATGAAATTTACCAAACGAACCCAGACATGCATGGGCTGCAAGAAGCCGCTGTCCGGCAAGGATGAGATGGATGGTGCCGTTTGCGTGAACTGCCGTCCTCGAGTCGGTGAGCTGTACACAAAGACTCTCACCAAGACCTCGGACCTGGAGGTTCGATTTGGTCGACTCTGGACGCAGTGTCAACGGTGTCAGGGCAGCCTTCACTGCGAGGTCATTTGTTCGTCCCGGGATTGTCCCATCTTCTACATGCGTATGAAGGCCAAGAAGGATGTCGAGGATTCACAAAAGGAGCTTTCACGCTTTGACTTCGACGCCGCAGCTTGGTGAGCAACTCATGTGTTCAATGTATGATTTTCTTGTTTGGCTGTGAGCCGGCATTCAGAGATGTCCATGGGCGGGACTTTGGCATGGTCTAGGCGGCGTTGGGGAATTCAACCTGTACACAGTAATCCCACAGAATTATTTGCATCTTTTAGCTTAGTGATTTACGTTGAAATATGACCTTCACATTCATTCATCGGAACTTATAAGCAATACCAAGCAGATGCACGTAAACAGTAGATTTGGTTACTTGGTTATACTCTCAACCAAAATGGAAATTTGTTTATCTCGAGTCCAGGTGGATCGTTCTGCGGCGCCGGAGACTCTTGGCGCGGAGAAGCTCCTCCGACGATCCCTCGGAGCTCTTCCTCTTCCTCTTCCACTTCCTCTTTCTCTCTGCCAGGATATCATTCGCCCGAACTCGCATTCCAACATGAATTCAACAGATACTGAGCCCAACCATGGCCAACCCCCTCAAAACTGGCAGGCTAATGGCTCGACAGTCCCGTGGGCAGAGGTATGTCGTCATCCCCAGATTTCTGCATCGCGAAGGACTCCAGTCCCGCAGTAAAAAATAAAAATGCGCCGGCAGCCCCTCAGCTTGCAAGGCAAGGGGATATATACCAATGAGACTGAACTAGTCTGACTGATATTTTCAACTTTGGAGCAGATCTTCTCCCGCCATGAAGCTGTGCTCGTGTCGCATCGCGAAATGCTGGACTCGGTGAAAGGTCACATCGCGCCGGATGGTGAGGCTTTCCGAGCAGTGTCGGCAATGCTAAACAAGACGGTTCAAGCGATGAATCAGACCAATGTGATGCGAAAACATATGGTAAGCCCCGGATTCCCTCATGCCCTTCAAAGGACTCGAGACTAACGCAACATCTTAGCTGAACAGTATGTCTTGGATTTTCGCCCGCATTCCGCTCCCATACCCGCTTCGATAATATGGTAACAACCAATATCTAGAGAAAACAAACGAATATACGGCCTCGGATGAAGCATCGCCCATACCAGAACCTCGGAAGAAAAAGAAGCGCTCGAGACTCGAAAATGAGGAGGAGAATGATGTCCCCGTGAACCACAATTTCGAAACAAGTGGTGAAAGCCCGGTCTCAAAACGAAAGTTGAACCCCACACCACCCCTACATCTCCCTGACGAATCTCAAAATACCTCCTCCGCCTACGAGACCGAAGACATATCCGCAGAAGTACAGAGACGACTCCTCATAAAGGAAGAAAGACGCCGGAAGAAAGAAAATGCGCAACCTGAGAAGCGGAAGCGAGAAAGTCTGATCTCAAACGAGAGCTTGTCTCCTGGTGGTGGTCAAAAACCTCAGAAGAAGCGAGTTCGAGTTGGAAGCGAATTGAGAAGGGATGGAGGTTTTGCGTCTGGAAGAGCTAAACGGCAAAAACAATGACTCGGGCTTTTGCGTCAACCAAATTTCAATCATTGGATGTACTGCTTTTTTGCATACCATTAGCACGGTGGCCAGCGTTGCATATTGTATACTATTTTCATGACACCTTCGACATGTCTTGACCGGCACTAAACTCGACTGATCACAGCTGGTGTCTCGGTCGATACTATGAATTAGACTTGGTATTTCTTAGTCGACTTCAAAATAGCATTTTGTACGATTCCTTGAGAACGGCAGGGTCTGGATGCCTCCAGGGCTTGTAAGTTAATTTATTTGGATACTCTTCGGTATTGACTTGAAAATCTAGGATAGCTTGGAATTCTACTAGTACTACATGCTGGACTGAAGTCCTACTAAATGCTAGCGGAGGAAGCTGAACGTGATTCTATTACTAACTCAGAAAGAAACTATATTGCGTTCTAAAAACGAATTCGATATCAGCTTGAACAAACAGAACTAAACCTTCAAGTTGGGAGGAAAATGCATATCTTAATTCACAGCGCCAGATCCTCCAAGTTCTACAATCAAAGAAAGGTCAACATCACTTATCTAAACCCACTACTCTATAAGCAGAGGAGACGGCGCCAGTGGCGGCGATGGACAAGTCGATGGGCGTGAAGTAGCGGGTGGAGATCCATAATCTGGGGCCTCCATCTGCTCCACAGACCGGCCAGGGTGGGTGTGGGTGGAGGGGTAGGATAAGGATTAAAACGCCGCGAAACGGCGCGCTGAATACCTGAACAAGCCATCATGTCAGCATATGGCTAGGAGGCGGCGTTGGGGGTGGTGTGGGGGGGTGGAGGTGGAGGTGTGGGTGGAGGCGTAGGGTAAGGATCCCGATGCCGCAAATCGACAGATTGCCTACCTGGACAAGCCATCCTGTAAGGAGGAGGCGGCGTAGGTGGAGGCGTAGGGTAAGGGTGCCAATGGCGCGAATCGGCACGCTGGCTACCTGAATGAGGCATCATGTCTAAAATAGCTGAATATGTAAGGCTCGAGAACGTGTTTAAGTCAGTGGAAGTGTCTGGCAAGGAGTTGATAAAGGCCGATGGTGTGAAGTGATGCTCAAGTAGGAACCTATGTCAGATACTGTCTCTTCTCTTAAATACCCTGAGATGATCATTAAAAGCTCTAGACAGATGGGAAAATTTATGGTTGACTTAGAGATATGCCGATTTGATAAAGCACATTATCTGAAGCACGCAGGTATCTCAACACAATGGAGAGCCAGTCCTTTGTCTGGATTCGAACATTACGACGAAACAAGAAAGGACTTGTGGTTTTGATTTTATCTGAATAAACGCTCTTTTGGAGCCGACAATGGAAAAGAAACCTTATTTTAGGAAGGGCTCCCAGTTGGTTTCAAGTCTCAAAGAATAGAGTGCTCACAATGGTTTGAAGTTCAAGTTATATTACCACGAGACAAAACGCCAGGTTCAAGTTGGAATCAAATACCAACTCGCAAGCAAAATGAGATTGCACATCGGATCAAGACCTAAGATCGCAAAAGGCATCAAACATCGGCCCAAAGGAAAGCACGATCGAAGAAGTTTCGGTTATAGCCTGGAGGCTACGAGTATGACTACCAGCAGTATTAGCACTATGCACCATGATTCGTTTATATTACCAGTCGGTCTATTGAACATACCAAGTTTCTAGTTAGATGCGGGCTACCCCAGGTGGTTCCCCTAAAGATGGATTGGCAGAGTGTTGAGATCAACGACAGTTAATTCTCCCTACCCATTGCGATGTTCTAAAATTATTTCCGGAGATCATGGTTTGAATCACCGGGGATTTTCTGAAACGCACAATGCCACATCAAGCTATTGTTTCTTTGTTCATTCTCCCAATCCTTCAAAGTTGTTTTTAGTATGCTCATTATCCAGTCTCTGGAATTTTACTGGCTAGCCCAAGGCTTTCGCAATAGATCAAAGCATCTTCAATAAAGGGAGTAGAGCACATAAATGATGTAGACATGCGCGCTATCGTACTCTCCTGGACCACGCGCTCCTAAAACCTCATACCCGGACCTCCGACTAGCTATAACAGAGGCCATCGATTATCAGATTAACACATATCTACGAATATTCTTCTTGCACCCATTTGACCTCCTCTAATACCATACCCTATCTTTTTTACCATTTTAAGTGGGCTTCATCTACGCCGCTGCCAGTTTGAGACTCCGAGTCCTCTTTTGGGAACATCTCATCAGTACTTCTAGAGATATCATTTTCTCTGGTGCGGGTTGGCTACTAGTCCATTTCGACGGATTTCACTTTTCGCCCAAACGGGACTTCCGACCTCCGCTGTTACTTCTTTTGATATTCTTCCCCAGTTAAGCTTCGGAGCACTCGTGTACTCGTCGCCAATTTCTAGGTTTAAAAAGTCCCCCGGCTCGGTTTTCCCAGAAGTTTTTTTCTTACTCCTTCACACACCGTCTTCTCTCTTTTTCACCAGACAGCTAATCATTTGGCTGTCCACCTTTCCCGAGTTCATCAGGAAGAAACCACCCAGCACTCACTTCAGCAGCTTCAAGGCAAGCGAGCCAGGATTACTAGACCGTCTTGAGGGTTGGACTTGTAGGGAGTCACCGATTCCTTGAGGGTCTTGTTTCTGCGTTGCTTTTAAAAAGATCAAAACCCGAAAAAAGGTCTGATCAAATAGTTTTGTCCTATCGAGATTACCAAAAATAGCGATAGGTGAGATTCCCTGAAGTGGAAATCCAGGTCTCCAAAGCCGGTAATAGTATTCCTCTTGCCTGTTGCTACTGAGACAAGAGACTGGGCTGTGGATCTCATTACATCCACCTCTCCCACTATCAAACATGGATCACCGTGTAAGTTTCCCCCAGGGGCCTAACGGCCAATGGGGAAACGGTCCTGCGTTCAGTCAAAATGCCGGGTTTCTTCCAAACAATACCACCTACGGCTCAGGACCGAAGAACAATCAGAATGGGAACCGGAAACCGCAAATCCAAGGCCAAGGCCACGATCAGAACCCTCGTGGCCGAAAGAACAAGAACAAAAACAAAAAGAAGAATGCGCTCAACCGCGACTTCTCTGGCTCTCAACAAGGTTACGATCCACGACATGGCCCCGGTGTGCCAAAGGGTCCTCGTCAGCATCAAAACCAAAACCACCATCAAAGCCAGAATTTCTATCCCCAATCCTCTCCACATCAGCCTCATTGGAATCAACACACTTCCAATCAAGGCTGGGGATATAATGGAAACAACCACCGGAACCAACAGCATGATGGGTACATGCAAAATCCATCGAACTACCAGGAGAACCAACGGCCAGCCTTCTACCACGGCCACCCCATCCACCACCTGGCGCCTTATCAGCATCAGCCCCCTGGTCCATTCTACGATTTGGATGATTCCTTGGATTCGATCATTTCTGATGCCGCTCCTCCTTTTCCCCAGGGGCCTTTCACCCACTTTGGAAAAGCCGAGGATAACGACATCGAAATGCCAGACGCACCACCTCTTGATCAGTACGTTTACGATTATCAATCAGTAAGTGGTTATCCATAGTTAGCCTTCCAGCCAACGAAATATACTAACTTTGATGCAGGTGTTAGAACGAATTGTCACCCAGGCATTGCAATCTCAACAGGTCAATGCCGACACACTGATGTACCAAGTCTTCAATGAGATTGGTGAGCTCAAACGGCAAAACAGAGAGCTCAATGATACCGTGATCAACATGTTTCTGAAATCATGGGGCATTCAGCCTCAGGGTTGAACCAAGTTTTCCACAAGTCACGGCTAATCAACTTTCAAGTGCAACGGAATGATGTTCTATTCACTTCATTCCATCTCATTCCGCTCGCCTCAAAAATTCGCTGTCAACAGCCTTCGTCAGTTTCTTCAAATTGACATCGACAAGTTCAATACTGTCGATTTTGGGCATGCGAACACTCCCCACAGGACTTTCTATGAAAACATACCCGGGTCTCCCGACTTGTAGCAATGAAGATACCGCTCTCCCGAGGGTATTGGATTGGTCTTTTTCGACCCGGCCATAGAAACACTCCTCATGGGGCACAGCAAGTGTTCTCGGCCATCCACCGCGCTACCCAACTGCCACAAACCAAGAACGCCTTATTCCGTGGACCACCTCTCTTCCAGGTCCCCAACTTGCAGCAATGAAGATACCGCTCCTTCGAGGGTATTGAATTGGTCCACTCCGACCTGGCAACGTGAATACAGGCTCGCAATTCTGCGCCCTTGGTCTTGACAAGTCGCACCTTTTCCCACTTGGGTTTGTATCGGTTGAGCTCGCGTCCGACTGGGCGCCCAGTCCTCAACGCTTGAGCTCCCGGTGCAGCCCAGAGAAGGAATATGACTTACTCAAGTCCGCCAATCTGTTCTATTTTGTCATCTCATGTACGGGTCGCTTCTCGCCACTACATGTGGATACCGCCAGACAATATGCCATATGAACCTGACAGGCAACTATCTTGCCTGGTTGTCTAGGAGCCTCGGACCCAAGTTCCATCCTAGACAGCTTTCAACTCAACTCTGAGTGGGCTGCTCCCATACACCCGCCATACACTCACCATTTCTTTTGGTTGGGGTCACATCCCCGGCTGCTCAATAAGGTCAGAAGGAAAGGGAAAAGGGGATCTCATGTATTAGTTAGTGCTTGTTCCGATCAAGGTTTTTATCTTGCCATACCAAGTGACAAGTTATGTTTCCCTTGATCCCGTGGCATCTATCAGAACTTCAAGTCCACTGCCCGAATGGGGGAAAGGCAAATTGACCACCTTGGATATTGATCACTCCGTTCGTGCCCTGGAGATTTGATCATGGAGATGTGTTTCATCATTACCGAGAATGCAGACGGTGGGAAAAGGGCAAAAAGACAAAAGACAAAACAAAAGATATTCTTACCTGGGCTTCAATTTGTCTAAGGGACTTACCAAGGGGAGTCATGGCCCTGAGGTATTTCCCAAGGCCTTTTGCTTACCAGTGAGATTTCTATTCTTAGCTTATCATTATTGCCCTATCATTATTGTGGAGGATCCTCAGTCTGCAGTCAAAGTGAAATCAAAGTGAAGGGCGCCCTGGGGAGTCATGGCTCTGGGGTATTTCAACACGATGGTAGTTTGACAACTCCTCATGTATATGTTTCAATGAAGCATATTTTTATCAACAACTGTTGTTCCAGTAGTAAAAGTTCGTAAATTTAATATGGACATGGCCATGTAGTTTGCCATAGGCCGTAGAGTGGAGTACAGTAAACGAAGTGACAAGAAATGGTGAACTCAAACGCCGGCTCCTAATGCTGATTGGTGATAAGATGGTTGTACAATGCGAATGCCACGTCAAGAAATGCATGAAGGCAGATGATGTGGGTGTTGGTTGGGTGTTGGGTGCGGTGATTTTGGTGTTGAAGATGTCGATGTCGATGTTAATGGTTGGTGAAATGCAACGGAGCGAGAAAGAACCCTAGTCATCAGAGTATCTCGAGAGCCGCCCTGACACAAGCAATCAACCTTACTCATCATCTTCTTCCTCCTCCTCCTTTTTTCCCCAATTCCACACATCCCAGATGTGCTCTTGAAATCAAATCACCATACCCCTTGCCCTCCTCCAACGCCTTCTGTTCCTCCTGCAACCTCCTCTCCATCCAACCGGGAGCCTCCCCGCCCATCCAAACCCGCTGCACAACACCCTGCTCTTGGGCCTCGCGGGCCTTCAACTTCTCCAATTCCTCCCCGACAGCCTCCTTCATCTGCGCCTCCCGCGCAGCCCTTAGTCGTGCTTGAATCTCTTGCGCGCGCTCGCTGGGGAGTTCCCGCAGGACTGCCGGACGGGTCGTAATCCGCGCTTCGATGCGATCAACAATACTCCGCCCTGTGCGCTCGCGCGTGATGTGGTTTGCAGAGACACAGAAAGCACTCGCCAGTAGGACGGTCAGGTGGTCGAATTTGCGGGTGGGAGTGCAATGAGCACGGGGGCAGCAACAAGGAATCCGGTCGCGGCGTAGGTCTTGAAGCGCTCGTAGTCTGCTTCGCGTTGGGCGCGAGTATTCATTTGTGTGTTGGGGTCTGCCATTTTGAATGGTTTGGGCGAACTTGACGATGTTGTTGCTGTTGATTCCTCCGGTCAGGCCCTTCGTTTCTGCTCCGGGCGCAAAATTTCCGGTCGGCAGTAGGAACCAACAGTGCAGATCATGTGATATCCTTGCCAAGAGTTGTTGTTTACCTACTCGTACATCTTCAACAACTTGAATTTCATACTACAGTCTACAATCTACAGTACTACAGTACTACTCGGAAACAAATATTCCTTTGAAATGTGTCAGGGATCGGCCAATTCTTTCACTTCCACCAACCTTACTACTAACCAAGTGAGCCACTCGAAGGACCTGGTATTTCAGCCACCACACCAATAGGGAAAACGAGCCACAGTACTAAAAATAGCCCTAAGCAAGGTTGTACAGAATGACGAAGCTTGACCGAAGCTTAGCGCTTTCCAGGGCTGAGTGGAATCCACTCCCATCGGTTCTGGTTCTGGCCAGTGTGGCTCATGGATTGCATTAACACGCAGGCACCGGTGATTTTATGAGCTATTAACTTCGCAGTACATGTACAGATGCATACTTCCTACAATACTAGTTAGTACGCCACCTGTGTATCTTGACTTCTTGACCGAGGCGCTCGAGTCTGTGAGATCATTATCGACGCCACGTTGGAATCCGAGCTCCCCCGTATGCTGATCATTAGCAAATCTGGCCGACCTCGTGGAAAGATCCCTACGTATGATAGTCCCAATCCCCACGGTCTTCTTCTCGGTGGACGCCACGTCCCTGTTGGTGGTGTGTAACCACCAGGCTGGTTACCTCACATTACATACAGCGAGCATTACGACGTTGCTCCGATGTAGCCGTGGGTTTCAAGGTTCCTGGTACTCACTATTATTGGCTATGCGCCTATTTGTATGCAAATTCACTTTGGTGTTCGAGTACAGTACTTACTTACCATACGTAGTCGTGTAATTGTGTCAGGTAGCCAGCTAGAGTGAGATCCATAAAGGTCACCTGCTCCCCTCGTCTCTGCCTTTGTCCTTCTTTCTCTTTTCTCTTTCTCTCCTCCATCTCCTTCCCTTCCAACCTCACCTCTCAGCAATTCAACTTTACTACACCGTACCAATCACTCTTCTCCAAAATGTTCGGCAACATCTCCAACTGGTTCTCCTCCAAGCAGGAATCTTCCCAGGAAGATACCTGGAACGCTATGACCGTTCAAACCCACCAGCCTACCAGCCCCGATGCTCCCTCCACCGACCGCGTTGTGACTGAGCAACCCGTAGGATTCTCCTTCAAGTACAATGTCTCCGAGATTTCGATTGCTGATCTAGACCTTGCTTCTTACAGAACTCCGAGCAGAACATGAAGCTTCGCGGTGGTGGCGCCGGCGATGTTTGCTGTGGCCTGTAAGTGGCCTTGACCTTATCACGTCCCGAGAAACAACTCCAGAGCGGACCAAAAGCTCAAAAGAAATGGACGTTCAATCTCTCCCAGAGGATTCCCCGCTAATATTGACATCTCAACAGCTGCGCCGGTCTTCTCTGCTTCGAGTGCTGCGAGGACTGCTGCTAAGCACATCGCGCCACATATTGACACTCCCGGTTATTTCCGCATACGCCGACTTTACCCATGTCTGAAACTTGACATCTGACCTGGTGCTTTCCAATAAACACATCATGGAACGGGATTTTGTTAATTTGACTTTGCACTTCATTTCCTGCAGCTTTCTCTTCCCGTCGTCTATGAGGCATACAATATTCTCCTCTCCTGATCCACCTTTTTTCTCTCCCGTTTCTTCTTTCAGCAGATGCTTTGCATCAACTATGGCTGTACCTGTTCGATAATACCCCTTTAGCTGAGCAAATATTATCCCACGATTTATTGACTACGTTTTGTTTTCCGGGTAGCTTTTTCGGAATTCATCCGATTATAAATGTGGATTAAGACGATATTCTAGGCGATCAGATACAATGGTACCTACCCTAGTAGCCAATAGGCATCCTACTGGTAGTAGCATCGTGAGGTGGAGAATGTCTAGAGACTTTGGAGATCACGAAGCATCCTACGATTTGGTAAGTGCATTATTGTTTCTAAGAGGAGAGTGTCATTGGGAAAGCTATCAACCGATTAATTCCACCAGAATCTTTTGCACCAGAATTGTTCTACCAGGATTGTCTCCCAGAACTGGAGTGAGATATCGATATTTCGCAGCTTTCCATCTTTCCATTACATTTCACCGCAGTTTGATACCCGATTCATTCCCCCACCATTTTGACACCCATCCATATGATCATCCCATGTGTTAACTCCTAAAGGGTCAAACAGACTACTGATCCGCAAGGGAGATTTCACCAGTAGGTACCATGAGGCACCTTGGTAGATCGCAATCCGTAATCCATCTTCGCACGGTAACGCGGAAAGTTCTGGGCGAAGGTGGGCGGGCGGTCATAGACTTGAAATTCGAGCTCTCCGATGTCCATGGGCCCATCCATGTCGTGCAGGCGTTCAGCAGAAGAGCCATACCCGGGGGCCTGGTCAACGCGTCGGTTTTCCCGTGTCCAGGAATTTTCCTTCGAATGGTCTATTTCAATGTGCTTAAATAGAGTGGCAACGGTGGGGAAGCCTTTTCCGCAGTGTGTGCAACTATATTTCAAAAACATGTAAGTAGATTTCTTGCCGATCGTGGGAGCAATGATTCCCGTCTTCACCATGCCCCACATGTACTTACTGGTGCTTAGATGTAGATCGTTCCATGAGTACGTGTTGCTCAAACACTTTCACATATTGAGTAGTAAACCCACAGTCGCAAAAATAGCGCTTTGTCTGACTGTTCCAGTGCTTCTCAGAGTTCCAGTCGGGGACAAGATCTTGAAGAGAGCGGGAGGAGCACGACGATGGAGACATGGCAGGTTGATTTCGGTCAGGTGTCTTGAAAAGCGCCGGCGAGGACGGCCAAAGACCGACGTCCAGATCCGGGTCCCAGGCAATCAGATCATCGGGGCTGATCGCCAGATTTGCAAAAGGCGCCGGGTTCGAGAGTTGCGGGCGTGCAATAGGAGAATCTTCCTCGTCGAGGGAACGCGAGGCCGGCGCAGCGGGAGGGCTAGAAAAGCGAGGGGAGAAGTTACTGCTTACATCAGGAGTGTAGCCTTCATTGGGACGAGGGTATTCGTCAGAGATGCCAGAATCCTGTCTCATCAGCTGAGGAGGTCGAGGTCGAGGTAGGCCTAGGCCGTCACTCTCAGTTCCGTTGTCTCGATAGCTGTCGTCGTCCGAGCAGAAAGACAGGCTGGGCCTGGATTGGGATGCTTCGCTGAGGACCCTTTCCATTTTCTGACGGCGGGCATTATGCTCATTCAAGGCCACCACAGCAGAGCTTCTGCATGCGTTGGAGGAAATGTGACTCATGTAGTCGTCGCCGGACGAAAAAGTCTTGGGGCAGCCAGGACAAGTGAGACCTCGGTCCTCTGGGTGATCCTGTGGTAGTTGTCAGCCCGAGTCTATGATACCTCTTTTTGAAATCTGTAGGATATTTCTCGTCCAGTCTCGGGGGAGGGGGTTCTCGCAAAACTCACAGTTTGGATATGAAAATCCCGGCCATCCTCACTCTTGAAACCGCGGTTGCAGATCGGGCAAGTATGGTGACGCTTGCTGACAAGCCTATGAAGGAATAGCTCTTCATGAGTCGCGAACTGGATGTTGCAGGCTAGGCAGAGTGCATGGTCCTTGTATGACATCTGGTGGGATTCCATGGCCGCTCGCGACGTGAAGAGACGAGGACAGTCATTCTTGGGACACTGCAACATCCCAGCTGGAGGCCATACAGGCTCAGTGGAAGTTTCATTCTTTTTTCCATCCATCGTGTGTTGGGAAAGATAAAATGGGGAAAGTTGGGTTTGAGGTGAAAGAAGAGAAATGAGATGGAGGAAGGAAGTGGTAGACAGCGGCGGAAGGTCAACCAGGACAACCCAGGACGACCACAACAACCACCACAACCACCACAACCACAAACTCGAACGCGTCACTTGAGAACCCGAACGGGCAATGCTTCGGAAAAAAAGAACTCAATGTTTACTCGGGGATCGAAAGCAAGACAGAAATGAGTTACATTGTTTCTTTACTCTGACCTAGACACCCATCTGCTATCATTCCTATACTTCATTCGTTCCTCTCAGAACCTCGAGAAGGGCAACCTATCAAATTTCTCGTCAGTCTCCATCCAACTCGAGGGGATATCAAGCTATACGAACCATTTACCACGCAATGTGATGACTGCCCAATTGTTCCCATCCTCATCAGTTTCCTTCTCCACCTTAGTCGAGAAAGAAATGGCACTCATGATGCCATCGCCAAACTTCTCATTGAGCACCGCCTTATACGCATATCCATAGTTTTGCACAATCTCATACAGACGATAAATCAGAGGCTCTTTGGGAGGCATCTCGACCGAGCGACCCCGATCGGGAAATCCACTCAACTGTTCTTCGAGCGGGTGCTGAGGGATTTGGAGCAACGAGGCCAGGCCCCGAATATCTTCGGGTGATGCCTTGGCCTGGCCGTAAAAGATGGCAGCGACAGCAACCTCACTGCGACCAAGGTGCGCGGCAATCTTTTCGAAGCTCAACTTCTTTGCTTCTTTCGCTCTGAACAGCGTTGCCGCCGAAGTGGGCAGATTAGGGTGCTGAGAGGTCTATCATGGGACGGGTTAGCTTCGGAATTCGGATTGGAAGTCGGATCAACGACAGGTCATCAACTTACATGAAGAGTTGCGAGCTCCATGATGATTATGTTATTGTTGGAAGGGGCGATTGAAGAGTGGAAGAAGCAGCAAATGGAGAAGTTGAAGATGGGGGGGTGCGAGGAGCGTTTCGCAATTGATTGTTGCGGGGCTGCTGGTGCGGGGATTCTTGCACGACAGCTGGCCACGACATGCTTGGCTTGTTCTAGTGGGACAGTCGATCAGATGGTAGGAGACTTGGTATCACTGGGATTGCTTTTATGGGTTATATACTACATCGGACTGGTGGTAGTTATATCAAGGCAATCGAGTCGTGAATACTAGTATCATTTTGGTATCCCATCTCCGGGGTCATATGGGCGTTGTATTCAAATCATTCATACGGTCAATTTACTCGTAATAGTTATTAGTGCTAGTTAGTATTACAGTAGTAGTAGTAGTAGTAGCAGTAGTAGTAGTAAATCGGTCGTATTGGACATACTAGTATTACTACTAGTTGCCTCCAGAGTTCGTTCCATCGTCTCAAATGGATGTTTTGTTGGGGTTTATACTCTACTAGTAGTATTCCACCGTGGCAGTCCCGTGGCAGACCATACGGCCGTAAATAGCAGAACACTTGGCATCACCGATAGTCAGCTGCAAGTACAAGCCAAAAGAACAAGTGGCGCGCAAGCAGAATTCCAAGATCAGCATAAAAGGTGTGGAGCCCCGGGCGATCCGCAGTGTACAACAGAGTAGCATGATGCATACATAACACGGCCACAGTCTAACTACCAGCTAGGCAAAATGCAGTAGGCGAGTCGTAGGGAACTAACTAGAGCTGTAAGTGTAATTTATTTACCAATTTACTAATTTAGCAGCCTGGCTCACCCGACAGCAACCAACTCAGCCACCACGGCTCCATCGTGGCTGGGCAGCGGGGCATCTCTCTGCTATTAAAAACAATCCCCCCGCCCCGGTCTTTCTTTCCCCTCACAGAATTTCCTCTAACCATGTCGCATCAAGAGGATGACCTGGCCTATGGCCGCTATTATGAATCACAACGTGGCTCGGGTGGTGACAGCTCTCGTGGACTCAGCGACACCTTTAAGAAGCTGAAGGATACCTACAAGACTCACCAGAGTTCCGGCCAGAGCCAGGGCCAGCCCGGAAACCAGCCAGTAAGCCCCCACTCTCACTGTCAACGAGACCTTGTTTAACTCATAATCTAGCAATATTCCCAGAATCAAAACCAGAATCAACCCCCATACGGCTACAGTACCAACCAAGGCCAAAATACTGGCCAGTACCAGCAGCAACCGGAGTACCACGGCCAGAACCAGAACCAGAGCCAGAGCCAGAGCCAGAGCCAGAGCCAGAGCCAGAGCCAGGGTAACCAGTACCATGGACGGCCCCCAAAGGAAGACAAGATCGGAGGGTTCCTGGGGAAGATCCAGGGCGCAGTGACCGATCTGGGTACCGATATGGCACAGAAGCTGGGCAACACCATCGATCCTCAAGCTTATGCGCATTACGGCGCACCCAAGCCCACCGCTGAGCAACGCTTTGGAAGCTTTGCCCCACCCCGAGAGCGCAATGATGCCAAGTGGTACGTGGACGGCTGCAGTTATTTCTGGGCCGTCTCGAGGGCCTTGGAGAGTGCGCGAGAGTCTATTTGGATTCTTGACTGTAAGTGTCGACTTCCCCATTTGCAACCCCGACAAGTTTGTCTAATCGTGATACAGGGTGGCTTTCCCCCGAGCTTTACCTGAGAAGACCCCCCGCCAAGAATGAACAATACCGACTGGACCGAATGCTGCAAGCTGCGGCCCAGCGTGGTGTTCGCGTCAACATCATTGTATACAAGGAAGTCACTCAGGCCTTGACGCTTTCTTCCGCACACACAAAGCACACCCTGGAGAATCTGCATCCAAATATTGCAGTCTTTCGACACCCCGATCACTTGCCGGACCGTCAAGAGCTTGCCTCGTCAATCTCCAGTTCTTTCCAAAATATGTCTCTGGACTCTGCTAGTCTCGGGAAAATGTCCAAGGACGCTTTGAAGGGACTGTATGGTATGAACGATGACGTTATTCTCTACTGGGCCCACCATGAGAAGCTGTGTTTAATTGATGGCCAAACCGCTTTCATGGGCGGGCTGGACATGTGCTTCGGACGCTGGGACACCCACCAGCATGCCATTTCCGATGTTCACCCGGCCGATCTCAACGAGAACGTCTTCCCGGGCCAGGATTATAACAACTCGCGAGTTCTCGATTTCCAGGATGTATCTCACTGGGAGAGCAACCAACTCGATCGAAAGACTATGTCTAGAATGGGATGGTCTGATATTTCGGTGAGCCTGCACGGAGGCGTCGTTGAGGATCTGCGCCGACACTTCGTGGAGCGATGGAACTTTATCTACGACGCGAAGTATAAGGTTCGTCAACAGTCTCGATATGTCCGACTTGCCCTATATGGACGCCCCAACTCTACTGGTCCGCAGTCTGGCTCCGCGCCACCGCAGCAACAGCAGCAACAGACACAGGAGCAACAGAGTCCTTATCCATCTGGACAGGCCAGCCCACACGTCCAGCAGCCATCCTGGCAAGGCGGAGGCACTTCCACTTACCCACCTCCACCGGGCCAGGCGTCTTCTACTCCGCAGTCCCAACAACAACCCCAGAGCTCTGTGGCGTCTAACCAGTATCAAACTGGTAGTATACCAACCTACCCACCTCCCCCGGGTCAGTCCCAGCACAGCCAGGATCAGCAACAGCACTACAACACATCATCCCAACAGACTGGAAATGCTCCGACATATCCACCCCCGCCAGGTCAAGATTCACCCAGCCATCAACAACAGCCCCATAGTCCTGCTCCATCCTGGCAGTCCGCATCTGGAAATATCCCAAGCTACCCACCTCCACCAGGTCAGGCATCTGCTAGCCCGCAGCCGTACCAGCAGCAACAATCGTCCTCTACCCCTTCTTACCAACCATACCAGGCTGGTAGTACATCATCCTACCCATCTCACTCGACCGAGTTGCCAGCCAACACCTCCCAATCTCCGCCTGGTTACTCAAACCACTCTCCGAGTCAAGGTCATTCTCAATATACTTACACCGGGGATTCTTTCCCGCCGCCTCCCGCCGGTCCTCCCCCAAGCCAATCGCCAGCCAGCCAAAACTACCAGTCCCAGCCGCAGCAACAAAGCCAAGCACCATACTATGCGCCTCCGCCTACTCAATCTCCCAACTCGGCACAGCATTCCCAGTCACAGGGTCAAGCACCATACTATGCGCCACCACCGAGCCAGGAAGCCTCGCATTCAGGTACCCGTGGAATCAGCGATCACTATCAGGGCCAAGGAGGAGATCAGGAGCGAGGCTTTGCTCCGCGCCGCCTTCGTGAGGATATCACAAACTACGGAAACAATCTCCGGGGTCAGCTGGCCGGCCAAATCCACACTTATCAGGATCGTCTCACAACCTACGGCCGTCCCGCTTCGCAGAGTCGTGGCAACATGTCTTGCCAGATTGTGCGTAGCTGCGCCAAGTGGAGCAATGGAACTCCCGTTGAGCACTCTATCCAAAATGCGTACGCGGCTGTCATCAAAAACAGCGAGCACTTCGTTTACATCGAGAACCAATTCTTCATCACGGCAACCGGTGATCACCAGCACCCAGTGAAGAACACAATCGGAGCTGCAATTGTGGAGCGTATTCTGCGTGCCGCTCGCGCAGGCCAGAAGTATAAGATCATTGTTGTGATTCCTTCCATTCCATGCTTTGCTGGAGACTTGCGCGACGACGAGACCCTTGGAACTCGCGCTATCATGGAATTCCAATACAACTCGATCAACCGGGGCGGTAACAGTATCATGGAAATGATTGCCAAGGAAGGTTTCAATCCCATGGAGTACATCCGCTTCTACAACTTGCGCAACTACGATCGGATTAACAACGCTGGTCTGTTGGCTGCCGTGGAACAACAGAGCGGTGTTGAGTACGGACATGCTCAGAGACAGTATGATGTTAACACTGCCGGTCCCGGTGGTTATGCCCCAGGAGCTCCTGCTCATACCGCTACTCGCAGCGCCTTTGATACCAGCGCGCCCTTCCAGCAGTATCAACAAGCCGC